ATTGAGCAAAGAATGATTTGTGAATTAGGCAGCCCCCAGAACCAGACTAGGGTTGGTTACAGCTGGGCATTTACCTTATTTGAACCTGGTTTGAAGAGTTGGCTGCCTGTGTTGGCTGAAGTTCGGCTGCTGTGACTGGCTGAGACTCACTACTTGTTACAAGAGTAGGTTACAGTCCGTTTTACATATCAAGTTGAGTTATAGTTTTTTATGTACTGGGAAACCTTTAGGGCAAACTTAAAATAATGTAAGGAGGCAGCTTTAGGCCATACTGAATTTAACGTTTCCTCCTTTTGGTCAACCTCTCAATTTTGAGAGGATGATTAATTTTGAGTTTGCCCAAAACTTTAGGCATTGACATCACTTTTTATCATCATAAATAGAGTTATTTCATCTCTAATCCCATTGGAAAATAGCAGAACACTGGGTTTTGTAAGGTGGGAACAAGGAGACAGAATAGGAAAAAAAAAAAACCGGATTGGTTAACATCAGATTACTTTTTTATTTTTTTTGAGATGGAGTCTCACCCTGTCATCCAGGCTAGAGTGCAGTGGCATGATCTTGGCTCACTGCAACCTCACCTCTCGGGTTCAAGTGATTCTCCTGCCTCAGCCTCCCGAGTAGCTGGGACCACACGCGTGTGCCACCACGTCCAGCTAATTTTTGTATTTTTAGTGGAGACAGGGTTTTGCCATGTTGGCCAGGCTAGTCTTGAGCTCCTGACCTCAGGTGATCCACCCGCCTTGGCTTTCCAAAGTGCTGGGATTACAGGCATGAGCCACTGTGTCCAGCCAAGATTAGTTTTTTGTAAGTAATCTGTTGTTACTTCGGATTACTTTTCTGTAAGGGATAGAGCAGAGGGGACTTCCTTATTATACTGGAATCTCCTGTTTTCAGGAGAAGAAAAAAAACTCGTCTATTTTGGGACCTGCTTTTTAAAGTTTTAGTTCGATTTTGTGGTGCTTAGCATGAGTGACTCCATTTTGGTTTGGTCTGGTCTACTTGAGACTAGTGCAGGAGCTCAGTCCAAAACAGTGGCCTCTGTTTAATACAGAAATTCAAATTTCAAACTTGTAGACATTCGATTTCTCTCTTATTATATAAGTACCTACACAATGTCCTTCAATTTGCTTTTTGATCTGTAAAGACTAAGATAGTTATCATCTAGTTTTACAGAAAAGTTTGCAGATCTTCTGGTTTAAAAGAGCATGAGATTTAGTGTCAAGCAGATTTGGATTGAGCCCAAGGGCTGCCATTCACTGATTGTATGACTTCGAGCAAGGTATTTGTCTTTTCTAAGCCTCAATTTCCTCATCTATAAAATTGGCAAACAAATAGTATTTACCTTGGAGAGTTAAGTGGGATAATGCATTTAATGTGCTTAAGGCAGTGCCTATCAGATGCTTAGAGGCTCAACACATTATTATTATTGTTATTGTTGTTGTTTTAACCTAAAGTAAATGAGATGAAACAAAATAGCAAAGCTAAATGAGGAGGAATTTTTAAGTTACATCAGAAACTGTAATAGATCCTAAAATATTATAATGAAGAAATTTCTTACTTATTTAAAAAGGCATTTTAAATTTAACAATGAGAAAGCCTCACTCAGAATAGACAACCCTCTTATAAGTTTAAAAAAAAAAAAAAGAAAAGAAAAGCCCAGCGCAGTGGCTCACACATGTAATCCCAGCTCTTTAGGAGGCTGAGTAGACAGATCATGAGGTCAGGAGTTCAAGACCAGCCTGGCCAACATGGTGAAACCTCGTCTCTACTAAAAATACAAAAATTAGCCGGGCGTGGTGGTGGGAGTAGTAGTAATCCCAGCTGCTCAGGAGGCTGAGGCAGGAGAATCGCTTGAACCCGGGAGGCAGAGGTTTCAGTGAGCCAGGATCATGCCACTGCACTCCAGTCTGGGCAACAGAGCAAGACTCCATCTAGAAAAGAAAAAAGAAATAAAAATAAAAAGTCATGCCCAGCTATTTTGGGAGAACTGAGATTATAAATCTATCTGAGAAAATAAAATGACAGGACTCCACAGAATCCATGGATAAAAATTTGACTGAAGAGGAATATGGAACAGACTAAAGGAAAAATTTTATCAAGCTGTAATCTTTATACTTGTACCTAAGGCCAGAACTTGAAACTGCTGAAGACAGTGTTTCTCTACAAATGCACACAGGCACCCCATTTTGATGCACAGATAGGCCTTTATTTCTTTTAAGAATAGCAGCTTTATTTAGATAAATTTCACATATGATACAATTCACCAATTTAAAGTGTACAATTTAATGGTTTTCAGTATAATCAGAGTTGTACTACCATCACCATAATTAATTTTAGAACATTTTCATCACCGCCCAAAAACCATTGTAGTCTCTCCCCAGCCCTCCACTCCGGGAACCATTAATGTACTTTCTGTCTCCATAGATTTGCCTATTTTAGATATTTCATATAAATGGAATCATACAACATGTGGTCTTTTGTGAATAGCTTTTTTCACTTACCATAATGTTTTCAAGATTGATTCATTTTGTAGCAGGTATCAGTCCTTTTTCCTGTTTATTGCCAAATAATTTTCCATTGTATGGATAGATCATATTTTGTTTATCCATTTGTCATATTTTGGTTGTCTATCAGTTGATAGATATTTGTGGTGCATTTAATTTTTGGCCAATGTGTAAAACTTATTTTGCTCTGACTGAGGCTACATACTGTTACAATAATGCTATTAGGTCAACTTGACTGAGCTGGCCTCACAGGTTACAGGTTGCTCGTTGTTAGAGATGAGACTTTAGACCAGACTGGACAACATAGTGAGACCCTGTCTCTACCAAAAAGAAAAACAAAAATTAGCCAGATGCATATGACTGGAGTCCCAACTACTTGGGAGCCTGAGGTGGGAGGATAACTTGAGCCCAGGAGTTTAGGACTGCAGTGAGCTGTGATCGTGCCAATGCACTCCATGCTGGGCGACGGGGTGAGACCCTGTCTCAAAAAACAGAAAGAAGGATTTTAGTATAACATTCAGCCAGTGCCATATTGGGAACCCACAAGAATGTACTTTAAAAAATATGTAAAAGAAGGTGGTGAGGGCTGTCATAGCTACTATTCAGGCAGTAATGCAGTGCTGAAAGGACATCAAGCAAATAGTGTGATGCCTGTGGGTGCAATGTTACTCCTTCCTTTAGGTTGTCAAAAAAAATCAATACTTCATAGCATTCCTGAAATGAAAAAGCTTGTGAACTATTGCGTTTAGGTTCACAATCTATTTTGGGCTGCCCATCACAGCTTTTCTCCTTTGGTAGAATAAAGTGAACTGAACCACCATGCCTAAGGTATTTGCCTCATTTCTTCCTCAGGTGGTTAATGATTACATTGTCAAAGCTGGCAAAGCATTCAAGTCCTGATTTCTCAGACTGAGTGTATGTGTGAATATATTATACTCATTTGCACAAATATAAACCCCCTGTCTTAACTGTGTTCTGCAAAAGGTGTGATAAATACCCGCAAAGAAAACTTTCAAGTTATATATCCTTATCAGTAGAACTAATGGAATACACACAGTATATTTTATAGGGAATTTCAGAGAAGGAAGGAAAAGTCAACCTTTTATTTGGCACCAGGATAGTAGTAAAACATTCTATTTGTGCATCAGATAGATTTTTATGACCTAACCTGGACAAGTAACTCTTAGTGCCTCATGTTTGAAAGAGGGATAACACTTCACAGGGTCATTCTAAGAATTAAATATTGTCAAAACACATGAAAACGTTCTCAATCTTGTTAGTAATCAAGGAAATGCAAATGAAGATCACAATGAAGTCTTCTTTTGTACTCAACTGATCGGCGAAAAATTAAGGCCTGATAATATTGACATACAGACCAATGAGATCTCTTATAATTTGCTGGGAAAATGTATCAATTTGTACAAACATTTTGAAAAATAATTGTGCACTGCCTTGCAAAGTATAACATTTGAATAACCTAGGACCTAGCAATTCAACTCTTACACAGACTCCCAAGAGAAAGTTGCACACACATACATCAGGAAAAATGTTCGTAGCAGCCCTGATCATAAGAGCAAAACCTCGAACAATCGAGAGGAAATGAATAAATTGCCCTGTAGCCACACAATAGAATACAAGACAGCAGTGATGCTGAAAGATATAGCAAGCCTCAGGAGTTTATATAGGATATGGATAATTTTATGAAGTTCAAAAACACCCAAAATTAAACAACATATTATCTAAGTACATACGTGATATATGGGATAAAACTAAAAAGAAAAGACGGAATGATTGGCAATCCAAAACCAATTCATGATTGTTGTCACTATCTTACAGGACAGGCTGTAGATTGGAAGCAGGGTTGGTGCACGCAGGTACATGTAACTTACTGGTAATGTTCTTAGGTTAGGGATCAGATCAAAGAAGTTCACTATAAATTTATATTAGAAAGGAGGGCTACTATGGATTAGTAATGAGAGTGTCATTAACCAGCAAATATAATTAATGAACTTAGGTTACCTGAGATCCAAATAAATAATGAGAAAAAAGTAAATAAAAGTGATGCATGAATACCAAAAATTTGGAATTACCTATATAATATGTAATAATAAAAAAAGAAAAAAGTGTCACTGGTTATCCTTCAGGTATAAAAATTACAATTAAAATTGTAATGTTATAATCTTCCATTCTTTCCCCTATGAATTAAAACTTTTTTTTTTTTAAAACGAGACTAAAAGGTCAGGTTGATAAAGTCTACGCCCTGTGGGAACTGGTTAGGTCAGGCTACCCACTCCAGATTTCCAGCAGGCTGGCCTCAGCCCTACCCACAGCCAGTAGCTTATTAAGGCTATAGGCGCCTGTGACACCTTCAGACAGGTGGTCAGTGCGCCCTAAGGACTCTCCGCAGCGTCGCTCAGGTTTACAGAACACGCCCAGGGGCGTGTCCAGCTTCCGTCGGGGAGAGACCACCTCCCTGGGGGGTGCGGCTAAGGGAAGAGGCAGTTCTTGTCCAGAGCCCAGGTAATCGGGGCGGGATCAACTAGCGTCGCGGTGTGATGACGTCACGCCCGGGCCAGGCCTGGAGTGGCGTGCTGGGCGTGCGCGGCTGCGGTATGAAGTGTTGGTCCCAGCGGTTCAGTGGAGGTACGGACGTGCTGTAGGCCGGAATGTTAGCGACTGTCGGATCTGTGGATGAGGAAGAGGATCCTGCGGAGGAAGATTGTCCTGAATTGGTTCCCATTGAGACGAAGCAAAGCGAGGAGGAGGAAAAGTCTGGCCTCGGCGCCAAGATCCCAGTCACAATTATCACCGGGTATTTAGGTAACTAACCATCCCGGTCACAAAATGCCGTGAACTCTGGTGTCTTGGGATTTTGGGGGCTGCCGGTGCCTCTTCTCCTGAGGCATTGGGGCCTCATGATCAAGAGCAAATGGCTTTGAGGTAGGGGCTGGGTCACTTGCTCCTGGTATGGGTTCCCTCTCATCTTGGGAGTTTAGTGATGCCCGGTCCCCTCTGCGTTAGATTCCCATGTCTCAAGTGAGATCGAAATTAGCCTTTGAAACAAGGCTTTGAAGGTCAGACACGCCCCCCTGATTATCTCTGTGACCTCTTAGCAAGCTATCTTACTTTCCTGACGCTCATCCACCTCACCTGAAAATGGCAAAAATACCTGTCACCTGTGAAATAGGGCCGGAACCACCTACCTATTGCCATTAAAGGACGTCCCGTGTGTAAAATGCCCGACATGTGGGGCTTTCCTCAGTAGATTCCGCTTCCCCACGAGCCAAAGTCCTCCAGCCAGTTAGCGGGAAGTGCTCCTATCTCAAACACCTTTTTTTATTTTTTTATTTTTTTGAGGTCTGTTTGTAAACCGCTGCGTAGGAAGTAATAAAATCTCTGTCCTCCAAGACTATTCTCAAACTAAGAACGTTTATGAGTGTACAGGGATACTCGAAACCACAAGTTTGTGAACCTGGTAGTTTCGTGAAGGGCGGTTTATGCACTTAGAGTAGAAATTTCTTACTGGAAAAGTTTGAGAAATATATTTTTAAACCTTACTGTTAAATAAAAGGGCTAGAACAAATATATGACTGTATTAAAAGTTTGAAAAAAGTTAAGAAATGTAAATACAATGGTACTGTTTCAGAGAAATAATATTCCTAGGTGTTGCTAGAGACAGGTACAGACTTGGGCCACCTCATGACCTTTTATGTAAAAATACGAACTTTTTTTTTTTTTTAACTTTGTAGACTGTAAGTTTATTCCCGTTTTTTGCTCGAAAGTAATTTCATAAAGGAATGGATTTTTGGCATTTCCCCAGTTATTCAGAGGCTGCTCTACTGAGAAGATGAACAAATTTCTTGTCCAAAACAATGTATTTCAAACGTGCCCCTCGGGCCTTTCCCATGTGTTGCTCACCGGTAGATCAGCTGATCATTGGAGAAAATGATCTGAAGCTCAGGAGTGAGGACTAATACCAGCAAACCTGTTGCTGAATCTAGGGATAGTTTCACTCCTATCACTGACCATTTTCCCTTTTTGAAGCACTGTTCCGTTGACTTCTATTACATTTTTCTTCTGATTTTTCCACCTGCTTCTCTGGCTTCTTTTTAAGGCTCCCTCCTCCTTCCCCCTTTGTCCATCTTTAGCTACACATCTGTGTAATTTCTATTTTGATGTCCTACAGCTTAAAGCTTAACATGTCTGAAACTTCATCCGTTACCATCCCCCCCAAATCCTGCTCCTGTGATCCCAACCATTTGGAATACTCTAAAAGCCTCCTGACTAATCTGGAGTCTTGTTGCCCTTTAATTTATTCCTTGCCTTAATTAGCCTTAATGATCTTTATGTGGGTCCGATTGCGTCACACCTTTCAGTGGCGTCCATATGGGTTAAAGTTCAAATTCCTTAACATGAATTACAAGGACCTGTAGGATCTGGATCTTGCCAACCTTTCCAGCCTGCCAAATTGGCCCTGCACAATGAACTAATGTTACTTCAAAGGTGCCAAGTATTTTTGCCCCTTGGAATAGGTACTTTTTTACTGTGACTCCTCTGGCTAGATGTCCCTTTTAGGTTCTCCATAGCATTTCGTACATCTCCTATTGAATATGTCATCCTGTGACAGAATTGCCTCCTTATTCACTGAATTCCCCTCCATTCCCCGCTTCCCTTGATATTTCTAAGCTCTGTGAAGGCAGAGACTGTCTTGTTCACTTTTTCACAAGGCCCAGCATAAATCTGTTACATATTAGAAACCTTGGAATGAATGAACTATGTCTTAAAGTGTTTTTCTTCATAATATGGTTAAAAAGCCCTAATAAGTCTTCTCTTAGGAGATTTCTTACGTTCACCCTTTCCTTTCAGTTTTCACATCAGTGCCATGTGAAACACTCATGTTCAGGGCCTCTGTCTCAATCTTGGACTGATTTTAAGATTTTTCTCATTGCCCAAAGTCTCTCTCTTCCATTCTATACTTCATACTTTTGTGATGTTGAGCCTCCTAAAGTACTCTAAATGTAAGCCTCCATCTCTTAAAAAGCTTTGAAAGGAATATGACCTCAAAGATATTAATACCCTAATACTTCGTAAAATCTTCCTAGTTATAGGAAGATCTAGTTGTATACTAGAAAACTTAATATATTTCAGAAGACATGTATATCACCAACATGTAAAAGTTTTTAGCAGCACTGTAATAGTAAAAGACTGGAAATGATGTCCAACAAAAAAAGATAAAGAAATGATATAGTCATACAATTGAACTACAATACTGTGCAGTTAGGGTTTTATTTTTTTCCTCTATGAACTTTAGTGTGTATGGTTCACAAGACTCTTCTACTCAAGATTGACATATTAGGTTTCACATGCCACCTGCTGGATAAAGTTGGTATAGCTCTATGAATTTATCTTTACTGAACATTCTGTCCGTTGTTGACATTACCTGCCTCTATTTCTTATTTCATAAAAACTTTTATAGATTGTTTAAAGCATACTATAAGTAGCCATATACTCAGCCTGAATTTGCCTCTGGTTAATGTTGAAATAAAAGGTCATTATAAATAAAAGATCATTGTGTGTAAATTTTAGGAAACGTTAGGCTAGGTTGAAGAAACTGTTTCAACTTGTAGGAGTTTTTGTAAATATTTATAAAATTGTATGTCTACATAAAATATTTTGCAATAGATTTCAAAGGGTGCTTTAATCTTATCCTCTAGGATGTTCTATACTGTACTTAAATAATATATGAAAAATAGCATGCAAATTCTCAAAAACATTAGGATTCTTTATATCTTTTTCATATCTTTAAAATTATTTTGAATTTTTTATTTACAAAAAATGTTTTGTAGGTGCTGGGAAGACAACACTTCTGAACTATATTTTGACAGAGCAACATAGTAAAAGAGTAGCAGTCATTTTAAATGAATTTGGGGAAGGTAAGTAAAGTTCAATAAATGTCATGTTGCAAGATTTTATGTGACTTTCTTCCTCTGGTGAGTTGATATTCCATGTTTAAAAATGAAAATGCAAGATATTATACTGATGTGGATAGCTTTGGAAAAATTAGATTAATTTCTGTTAAGATTTATATGGATTGAAAATACTGAAATTAGTTTTAATAAAATTTTGTGTAACTTTGGAATTCTTATTAATAGAAGTAAACTAGATTTTTACATGAAATAAATGACTCCAGAAGTAAAAATCTAGACGTATGAAAAAACGGTTTTTTTATTTTTTATTTTTATTTTTGAGATGGAGTCTCTCTGTGTCGCCAGGCTGGAGTGCAGTGGCATAGTCTCAGCTCACTGCCACCTCTGTCTCCCGGGTTCAAGCGATTGTCCTGCCTCAGCCTCCCGAGTAGCTGGGATTACAGGCGCGCGCCACCACACCCAGATAATTTTTGTATTTTTAGTAGAGATGGGGTTTTACCATGTTGTCCAGGATGGTCTTGAGCTCCTGGTCTCATAATCTGCCTGCCTCAGCCTCCCAAAGTGCTGGGATTATAGGCGTGAGCCACCACGCCCAGCCAAAAAATGTTTTTTTTAGGAACTAGAAAGACACTTCTGTGTGGACTTTATTGCAACTCATGAAAAATAATTGAAAATGCTTCTAAGTTTACTTTGTTTAATGTTTATTATCTGCAATGCAGTTAAAACTCAAGATTTTAAAAATAAGATAAACATATGGTCTTTATGCTCATGTATCTTAAATTATCTGTGAAAATAAGTGTGCTTAGCTTCTCAACTCAAATATTAAACTGTAGTTAAAAAAAATAGTGCTAGACACAATACTTCTATTATCTTTATAGGAGTTTTTCTTCATAAGTATGAATTGTAATCAAAGCTCACTTCTAGCCAAAAAACAGTATCTATTAAACAATTTCTTTTAAAACGTACTGTTTTTTTCAGTTGTAAAAAGTAAAAAAACTAGGTTTTATGAACAGGATGGGAAACTTGTTATATTCGATTTCTAGTTTTAATAAACTATAGAGAAAAGTGCTTTTTAGGCAAAAATCCTGAGATTTCTAATAACAGACTGTTTTTTTCCATCATCTTATTAAATAACCTATTGCACACTGATTACATTTATTCTTACTATTTTCTTTATTTTTTCCTGGATCATTTTCGCAATTTTATTTTTCACGGCATTCTTAACACTTTCCTTCATGTTTCATTAATGTTTTGTATATAGTCTGAATTCTGTAGCAACCCCTTTAGAAGCTCTTTATTAATACCTAGCTGAAATATGATAAAAACTATGGAAGTGTAAAACTACTCAATTTTATGGGGCTCATTTGCTTACTGGACTTTTAGAAGTCTTCACCGTTTGGTATATTTCTTTATTAGAGGAAAAGTAAAACATTTAAAATAATTCTTATAGATAACAAGCGTTTCAAATATAGTTTATTCTTTCTTAAGTAAGTATTGCTAGGAAAATATGTGAATTTAACTAAAAGTTTAATTTTTTTTTTTTTTGAGATTGGGGAGTCTCGCTCTGTCACCCAAGCTGTTGCTCAGGCTGGAGTGCAGTGGCACAGTCTTGGCTCACTGCAACCTCCGCCTCCCAGGTTCAAACAGTTCTCCTGTCGCAGCCTCCCCAGTAGCTGGGACTACAGGCACCCGCCACCACGTCTGGCTAATTTCTGTATTTTTAGTAGACATGGGGTTTCCCCATGTTGGCAAGGCTGGTCTCGAACTCCTGACCTCAGATGATCTGCCTGCCTCGGCTTCCCAAAGTGCTGGAATTACAGGCGTGAGCCACGGCACCCGGCCTATCAGTTTAATTTTCTTTTTTTTTTTTTTGGAGTCTCGCTCTGTCGCCCAGGCTGGAGTGTAGTGGTGCCAGCGATCTCAGCTCACTGCATGCTCCGCCTCCCGGGTTCACGCCATTCTCCTGCCTCAGCCTCCCAAGTAGCTGAGACTACAGGCACCCCCCACCATGCCCGGCTAATTTTTTGTAATTTTAGTAGAGACGGGGTTTCACCGTGTTATCCAGGATGATCTCCATCTCCTGACCTCGTGATCCGCCTGCCTCGGCCTCCCTATAAGTTTAATTTTTAAATGAGCACATGATACACTGGCCAAAAACCTTCCTCAAGATGAACTAGGGGTTTTTACTCATTGGGAATATTCAGCCATTTGTCTAACAGAAACAATTTAGAAGAGTGAAAAGAAAAAGATAGATAAGGCAATCTCTTAAGAGGTTGAAGGGCATACAAAGTCCAGTATATAAAACATACTAGTTTATTTAGAAAGTTTACCCTGAACAAGAATAAAATGCCTTCAAGATAGCTACTTTATTAAGAAATGGGGGTGGCCAAGTAAGAGGCCTGAGAAGAAAGTAGGTATGTTTATCAGTTTAGGATGTGTCTTTTTAAGGGCTTAAGTCATCTTAAATAAATCTAAAATAGTGTACTGTAATTTAGATATCGAGACTGCATGAATAAAATGAAAAAATATGTTATAAAATTCTGTTTCTGCTTTAAGATCTCCATTACTGAGTTATCCTTATCTTTGTTTTTTGTTGGCTAATGAACATAAGGTAAAGAGTGCTGTTTGTTAATTATTCTAGGAAGTGCACTGGAGAAATCCTTAGCTGTCAGCCAAGGTGGAGAGCTCTATGAAGAGTGGCTGGAACTTAGGAACGGTTGCCTCTGCTGTTCAGTGAAGTGAGGAATGTGTTTACTATGTCTATGGTTTACTAGAAATGTTTAGATTATATTTCCAGCTTTAATTTTCTTGAGTAATTTAACTGAATTTACACAGTTTGCTTCATTGTATTTTTTAACAAATAGAAAGTTTATAGAAAATAAACTTATTAGGAAGCATTTTCTTAAAGTGTTTCTTGCTGTCTTTTCTATCTGCTCAAATGTTTTGGTCCTTTTATTGAGTTTTTATTGCTTTTGATGTCAGGGCTTATTTAATTAATCTCTAGTGCATGAAAGTCTCCTATGTAAAAAATGATTATTCTGAATTAATACGTCATTGGTCATATTCCCAAGTGCTCAACCTTATAAAAACAAAAAGTAAATGACTGTCAAAAAAGAGAAAAACCTTACATTATGTTCCACTAGTTAAGTTTCCAAGAACAGTGTCTGTTCACTAGTCTACCATAGACCCTATAAGAGTTACCCAACACATAGTAGCACTCAAGTATTTGTTGAATGAATTATAAAAATGATTGCTTGTATTGTTAATTTTGTGTATTCTAGTGAATTAAATCTCTTCGGCATCATTTACCCCCTTAGGTATTTGACTTTGTTTCAAATGTATTGGCAAGGATGAAATTATAACAGACTCTTGAACAACCAAAATGTAATCTATTAAGTATTTTCCTTCACTTTTGATAAAGTAAGAAAAAAGGGAAATTAAAACCTTGTATCCTAATGCAAAATAGAATTAAGTGGTATATAATATCAGTGTCCCTTTAGCTATTATATTAAACTACTATAGTTAATAAATTTTATCATTATTTTGAATATTGGTTTTTTAAAATTTCATGAAGCTATAAAAAGATACTGACTTGGTCAGATAAAGTTTCCTCTGCTTTTAATTTTAATAAAGTATTATTATGTATATGATTTCTTTTTACCTATTATATATATGCATCTATTGTTTTCTCACTGGTAAATATGGGACAGACATTTTGTTAGGTTAGTAGTGAGTTAAATTTTCACATTCCTAAGGATACTTTTGTCTCGAGTTGTTGAATATGTTTTAAAATGTGTATAATAATCACTTCAGAATATTTAGGTAATCAACTGTAAATTATGTTTTGGTATTCTCCAGGGACAATGGCCTTAGAGCCATTGAGAATTTGATGCAGAAGAAGGGGAAATTTGATTACATACTGTTAGAGACCACTGGATTAGCAGATCCTGGTAAGAAGTGAGATTATTAATAACCAGAATATAGTTCTGTGATATATTATAAATAGATGTATTAGAGGAATATCTAAAATGAGTATTAAAGCTTTCCTTAGGGTTAAAACTTTTTTTGGTTTAAAAGAGGAAAAGCACTCGGTTGTCATCTTCTCTGGCAGATGAATGAATGATCAGAGTATTGCTTGGTACTTTTAAGCTGTTAATAGAATTTGAAGTTTTATTGATTGACTTAGGATTATTTGTAAGAACAGAAGTTGTTAAAAATAGGACATGTAGGAAAAGCAGAGACGTTCTACTTCTGAGTACAGTTGTCCCTTGGCATCCATGGGATATTAGTTCCAGGACCTCTGAGGATACCAAAATCTATGAATGTTCAAGTCCCTTGTATAAAATGGTGTAGTATTTGCCTATAACCTATGCACATCCTCCCATATTCTTTAAATCATCTGTAGATTACTTATAATACCTAATACAATGTAAGTGCTGTGTAAGTAGTTATTAGACTGCATTGATAAGGGAATCATGACAAGAAACTCTAAACTCTACTATGGAAAGCTACAGAGTCAACCTGTTTCTAACAATGGGTTTCTGTTACCTTCTTACCAAGCTCCAATTCTTGATAAAATCTGCTTATTTTCCCCAAATAACTTTTAGATAAAATCTTTATTTTCAGTTTGCATAACAGTTAGTGCTTGTTCTGTGAATCTCACCCATACCATTATTACTATTTTTTTAATCTGGGTCTCTGGCATTAGGGCAATTTGTAAAACTCCATTAAAGTATTTGGGGGTAATTTACTAACAGGTCATAGTTGTCCAAAAGAAATACTGAAGTATCCTGAGGGTTCAGATGTGATCAGTGGTTATTGTACTTAAAACAATTACATAATAACATCATCCCCATGTTTACAAAGTAGTATTGAATTAGGCTATTTTGGTCCTTATAGTAGGCATAGGTTTTTCATACCTTTCTGATAAATCTGAGTGATGATAGGACTTGGACTAATATGTTGGTGTTAAATATTATTTGAATCTGGTAAGAAAGAAAAATATATTGTATGCTTTTTATTAGAAATAGCAAATATCAGTTTATTTCATCATAGCCAGTTTTGCCACTTTATAGACAAAAACTCGATACTTTTGAGAGAGTTTAATTAAACACGATTCAGCTTTTCAGAGGAAGAAAGAAAAACTAAAGGTCACAGAGAAAGCTTTTCTACAAAATGTAGTTGTAAAAAATGTTAATGTTTCTTGCTTTTAACTTTCTTTACAATAATGATGTTATTGTTTGGGTAAAGATGGAACATTCATTGTAAAAAAAATTTAAATACCTAAAAAATACAAAGAAGAAAGTTGAAAAGTAATCATCTCACTATTGTGATATACAAATAGGGGCTGGGCATGGTGGCTCATACCTGTAATCCCAGCACTTTGGGAGGCCAAGGCAGGTGGATCCCTTGAGGCCAGGAGTTCAACACCAGCCTAGCCAACATGGTGAAATCCAATCTCTACTGAAAATGCAAAAACTAGCCAGGTGGTGTGGCGCAGGCCGTAATCCCAGCTACTCAGGAGGCTAAGGCACGAGAATGCTTGAAAGCTGGGAGGCGGAGGTTGCAGTGAGCCGAGATCACACCACTGCACTCCAGTCTGGGCCACAGAGCAAGACTGTCTATATATGTATATACATATATATATATACACACACACACGTAGGTAAATTTTATTCCGGTGATCTCTCTATGCCAGTGCTACTTGGTAGTATGTTGAATGGCCGGCAGCCTCAGCCTCAGCTGGGAGCTTGTTAGAAACGCAAATTCTTGGCCGGGCGTAGTGGCTCAAGCCTGTAATCCCAGCACTTTGGGAGAGACGGGCGGATCACGAGGTCAGGAGATCGAGACCATCCTGGCTAACACGGTGAAACCCCGTCTCTACTAAAAAATACAAAAAACTAGCTGGGCGAGGTGGCGGGCGCCTGTAGTCCCAGCTACTCGGGAGGCTGAGGCAGGAGAATGGCGTGAACCCGGGAGGCGGAGCTTGCAGTGAGCTGAGATCCGGCCACTGCACTCCAGCCTGGGCTACAGAGCGAGACTCCATCTCAAAAAAAAAAAAAAAAAGAAAGAAACACAAATTCTTGACCTCCAACCCAGATCTACTGAATCTGAATCTCTAAGGGAGGGGGTCCAGCAAGCTGTTTTAATAAACCCTTCAGGTGATTCTTATACTGTACAGCCATACCGCAGGAATATTGTGGGCTTAGTTCCACATCACTACAGTGAACTGAATATCACAATAGAGTGAGTAACACACATGTTTTTGTTTCCCATTGGATATAAAAGTTATACGTTTTGGCCTGTAGTCCCAGCTACTTGGGAGGATCACTTGAGCTCAGGAGTTTCAGGCTGCAGTGAGTCGTGATTGTACCACTGCACTCCAGCCTGGATGACAGCATGAGACCCCATCTCTTTAAAAAAAAAAAAAGGCTGTGTTTATACTATACTGTAGTCTGTTAAATGTGTAATAGAATTGTCTAAAAAACATACCTTAATTAAAAATATTTATTGCTAAAAAATGCTAACAATCATCTCAGCTTTCAGCAAGTCATAATCTTTTTGCTGGTAGAGGGTCTTGCTACAATTTAGGGTGCTGACCAATCAGGGTAGTGGTTACTGAAGGTTGGGGTGGCTGTGGCAATTTCATAAGATAATAATGCAGTTTGCTGCATTAGTTGACTCTCCCTTTCATAAAAGATGTCTCTTTAGCACATGATGCTATTTGATAGCATTTTACCCACAGTATAACTTCTTTCAAAATTGGAGTCAGTCTTCTCAAACCCTGCTTTATCAATTAAACTCCTGTCATATTTTAAATCCTTTGTTGTCATTTTGACAGTGTTCATAGCATCTTCACCAGGAGTAGATTCCATCTCAAGAAACCACGTTTTTTTTACCCGTCCCTAAGAAACAACTTCTCATTAGTTAAAATTTTCTTATGAGATTGCAGGAATTGAGTCACATCTTCAGACTCCCCTTCTAATTCTAGTTCTTTTGCTGTTTCCATCACATCTGCAGTTATTTCTTCCACTGAAGTCTGGAATCCCTTAAAATCATCTGTGAGGGCTGGAATCATCTTTCAAACTCCTATTCATGTTGATATTTTGATCTCCCATGAATCACAAATGTTCTTAATGGCATCTAGAATGATGAATCCTTTCCAGAAGGTTTTCAATTTACTTTGCCCAGATCCGTCAGAGGAATCACTGTCTATGGCAGCTATAGCCTTATGAAATATATTTCTTAAATAAGACTTGAAAGTCAAAGTTACTCCTCAATCAGTGGGCTGCAGAATGGATGTTGTGTTAGCAGGCATGAAAACAACATTAATCTCCTTGTACATCTCCATCACAGCTCTTGGATGATCAGGTGCGTTGTCAATGAGCAATAATATTTTGAAGGAATCTTTTTTTTTCCTAAGCAGTAGATCTCAATGGTGGGCTTAAAATAAGCCATGCTGTAAACAGTAAACCATGCTGTAAATAGATGTGCTGTCATCTAGGCTTTATTATAGAAAACAGGCAGAGGAGATTTAGCATAATTCTTAACGGCCCTAGGATTTTCAGGATGGTAAATGACTATTGGCTTCAACTTGAAGTCACCAGCTGCTTTAGCCTCTAACAAGAGGGTCAGCCTGTCCTTTGAATCTTTGAAGCTAGGCATTGACTTCTCTTTAGCTATGAAAGTCCTAAATGGCATCTTCTTCCAAAAGGAGTCCATTTAATCTCCGTTAAAAATCTGTTGCTGGCCAGGTGCGGTGGGTCACGCCTGTAATCTCGGCACTTTGGGAAGCTGAGGTGGGCAGATCATGAGTTCAGGAGTTCAAAACCAGCCTGGCCAACATAGAGAAACCCCAGCTCTACTAAAAATACCAAAAATTAACCTGGCGTGGTGGTGGGCGCCTATAATCCCAGCTAATCGGGAGGCTGAGGCAGGAGAATGGCTTGAACCTAGGAGGCGGAAGTGGCAGTGAGCCGATATTGAGCCATTGCACTCCAGCCTGGGCGACAGAGCGAGACTCCATCTCAAATCAATCAATCAATCAATCTGTTGCTTACTGTAGCTACTTTCATGAATGATGTTAGCTACATCTTCTAGGTAACTTACTGCAGCTTCCATGTCAACACTTGCTGCTTTCCCTTGCACTTTTATGTTATGGACATGACTTCTTTCCTTAAATCTTGTGAACCGATCTCTGCTACCTTCCAACTTTTCTTCTCCAGCTTCCTCACCTCTCTCAGCCTTCATAGAACTGAAGAGAGTTAGGGTTGATCTGAATTAGGCTTTGGCTTAAGGAATGTGGTGACTTGTTTGATCATCTATCCAGACCACTTCATATCAGCAATAAGACTGTTTTATTATCATTTGTGTGTTTACTGGAGTAGCACTTTTAATTTCCTTCAAGAACTTTTCCTTTGCCTTCACAAGTTGGCTAACTGGCTCAAGAGACCTAGCTTTTGGCCTCTCTTGGCTTTCAACATAACTTCCACACTAAGCATGACCATTTCTAGCTCTTGATTTAAAGTGAGAAACAGGTGACTGTTCCTTTCACTTGAACACTTAGGGGCCATTGTCATGTATTAATTGGCCTAGTTTCATGTTGATCATATTCTTTATGTTGTCATGGTTCTGTCATAATTCTTTAATTCTATGTTTTATTAGTTTTGGTGCTCATTACCAGTACTGTTGCTTCTCCATTTCTGAGTTAGTCCATCTCCTGATTGAATTTCATTGTCAGGCAATCTTTTCAAGTTATAGGTACAGCATTCTTTGGGTTCTTACACACTTCATTGATTGAGAATATTTGTCTTTTGTTTTTATATTATTTGAAGGATTACTTGGCTGGGTATAAAATTTATCAGTCACACTTTTTTCCCCCTCAACTTTGTAAATGTTGTTCCATAATCTCCTAGTGTTTGATTAGCTAGATTTCTTTGTCCAATGTTTTCTCCTTTTATTAGGAAGAATTTGTGAGTCTCTGAGTTTCAATGCTTGCTGTTTTCTTTAATGCTTAAGAATGTCTGCCTATTGCTTTCATTCCTGAAAAATAACTTGGCAGGAGGTAATTTTGTTTGGGAACACTTTCATTAGAACTTTGTGGTCACTGTTTTATTATTTTGGGACATCTAGTGTTACTGTAGAAAAGTCTGATTTTTCCCCCTCCCTCCTTGAAGGCGCTTGTTTTTTTTTTTTTGTTGTTGTTGTTTTAAATCTAAAATGCCTGAGAGTTTTTTCTTTATTTTTGAAATTCAGTAATATAAACAAGATATATCTAAGTGTCACTTATAATCATTTTTTCCTATTGCCCTTAGTTCTTCTAAGAACATTTTCCTTGTTTATTACCATGAATACTTTTTTTTGGTCAAATTATTGGATCCTCTACTTCATGACACCAGTTTTTTAATACTGAAATTTCTTTTGTTCTCTGTATGTATTCTAATTGCTTTGATTTGTCTTTTACCTTTGCATTTACTGTGATCATCTGAAGTCTCTCTTTTTGTCAGTAATTCTGTTTTCTCCAGTGTCTGTTCTGTTTTTGATATTTTAAATAAATTAATTGGTTAAGTCATTGTGTTACATAGGCTTTAAGTTTCTTTAGCACTACAAACGCATTTTCACCTTATTCTGCTTCTTCTTGCTTTGGAGCTTGTTTTTATAGGGTTGTATTGTTTTTAAGTTCTTTATTATGATGAAGTTGCTGAGAGTTTTCTTTAGTTTTTTTTGGGTTATGTATCCTTCCAGAGTGGGTTCTTTGCCCCTTGTGTGCCCTATTCATTTCTTCATTTTTTGTTCTTTCTTGCCTTTTATTCCCTGTATGTGTGTGTTTCTTTTTGTCAGGCTGTAATACATATGCATACATGTTTCTTCTTGATATGGGAGAATTTATATGTGGTGCTGATGGGAAATATTTGTAATACTCCACTCTCCTTACCCAAGTTTATTTTTCTCCTGAACCCTTGTTTGAAAGCTATATATTGTTGGAGTGGAGGGAAAGAGAAGGGAAAAGTGGTGATTGAGAGAGCCAGATGGGGCAATGTGGCTTTTAGGCTCTGCTCTCTTGATGTACCGAGTATTTCCCTCTTGGGTCTACCCAATTGCTTATGAATAAAATTCCTATGCCTTGTATGGGGACATCATTCGGCCTCAGACCTCTCATTTCTGTTTGCTCTGAGCCCTAGAATGTGACCTGACCTTCTCCTTCCCAAAGCATGGAGATGGTTAAAACTTACTCTGGACATTTTTTTGTTGACTTTTCCCTGTATTGCTTATTCATTCCTTGGCTCTACTTTTTGCCATTTTGGAATGTATTTCTGGTAAGTGTTTAGGATTTTGTAAACTATTTCCCTACAACCTCTTATTGGAGGTCGGGGTAGAGTTGGGAATGACCATCAATCACACATAACTTTGTTTCTTATTTTGACTATCAGGCTTCAAAATTTTTGGCAGGCCCTTTTATATTTGGTTGCTGCTAATAAAATGTTGGCCTTTTTGTTTTATTTTTTATTTTTATTTTTTGTTTTATTAGATTTTGAAGAAGGGAGATTCTAAAATCTAGTTCAGGTTTTCTCAACGTCAGCACAAATAACTTTGGATTGGATAATTATTTGTTGTGAGGAGGTTGCCCTGTGCAGAGTAGGATATTTAACAATATCCCTGGCTTCTACCCACTAGATGCCAGTAGTATTCCCCTAGTTAAGACAACCAAAAACATCTTCAGACATTGCGAAATATTCCCTGGGGAGAAAAGCACCCTGGTTTGAGAGCCATTGATCAATTTCGTTCATTCATCTTTACTCCTGCTCCTAAATACCTACATCCAAATTTTAAGTAGATCTTTCTTGTATAGTCTGGCAAGTATTATATCAAAGATAAATACCAGTTTTACAATAAAGCATTAATACACTCTTACACTTCAACTTGAGAGGCAAATATTAACAGTAGGATTTATGAACTATTTATTAGAATAAAAATCAATGAATTTTTTAGAATTACAGAATGATTTATGTGTGTTAGATATTTTACTGAGTGAAAAAAAATAATGCTTTTTTAAATGACTTATTGTTTGGAGTAGTGATATAGTAGATTTAATTCTTCCCCCTCATTAATTAAAATCATGTTTTAGTCAAGAAAGTGAACAAAATTCTTATTGGCAATTCAGTTGTTTCCCGTTTCGGAGACTGACACTCTCCAGTTCTCAGTTAAATAATTGTCATGGTAAAGTAATTTCCTTGAAAAGAACGGACATTGATTCAGCCCCTGTTACTCACAAATCCTATTTGAGTCAAATTGGAAAACTATTAAGTTTTTGGGAAAAAAATCAATAGGTATCAGGAAACCATTAGATCTTGTGGCCCTTGCTATATCTTGCATGAGTAATCACTGTAAACAGCTGACAGGTATTTCATTGTTGACACAGAGTGATGCTTGAGGGACCACATCTTGTCAGAGTAGGTGGACAGCTTTAGACATTGGAATGAGTTTGGTTATCCTTGTTTTTCTCCTACACTCATTCTTTTAGACAGCCCTGTCACTAACTGGGCCTATGATGCTTTGAAAAATCAAATACTTTCCTTGCTGTCAGTTTTCTTTTTCTTGTGTTATGGCATACTAATCAGGGTATGTGGTTTGGTACTGAACCAGTTTCTGTCAAAAACAAGTTTTAATTTATTATTTAGGAATAGTTTTTCCTCAGACCCAGGTTTTTATACAGTACTAAATAAATAGTGTGAGAAATAATTAGTAATGCCATAGAGTATATAATTTTACTTCTAGTTCTACACAGATTACAAGTAAATTTTTTTTGGACAAGTGATTTTGGAATTATCTATATTTTGTTTTCCTTTTCCTTTAGAGTGATAATTCACTGTTTATGATCTGAATGATTATCATATTAAAGAGATGAGAAAATAAAAATAAGTCTGATGTGCACAAAGCCATACTGCTCAAATTGTTTGATAATATCTGTTATTATTATGGCATCGGTAGAAGAATGATGTTTTGTTTATATGTGGTAAAAGTTAGTCTTTTTTAAAGGAAAGAACAAGAGGGATAGAAATGGAATGGGTATAAATAGTAAAAGGTTCTAGCGCTATAATTCCCTTTTGCTAGAAATAGTTAAAGTTTCTATCACTATAATTTCCATAAGAAGATATATGTGTTTACCTGTTAATTTCATCAGGGCAAATTAAAACATGGATAGAATCATGTTTCTCAGTGTTAAGAAATATTTTTATTTGATGAATATTATATATTTTCAGGTGCAGTGGCTTCTATGTTTTGGGTTGATGCTGAATTAGGGAGTGATATTTATCTTGATGGTAAGTTAAAAAACAATTTTCTTTTTTCTTGTTTTTTTTTTGAGATAGAGTCTTGCTTTGTTTCCCAGACTGGAGTGCAGTGGCATGATCTCAGCTCGCTGCAACCTCTGCCTCCCAGATTCAAGCAATTCTCCTGCCTCAGTCTCCCGAGTAGCTGGCGCACCATTGTGCCTGGCTAATTTTTGGATTTTTAGTAGAGACGGGGTTTCACCATGTTTGCCTGACTGGTCTTGAACTCCTGACCTCAGGTGATCCGCCAGCCTCGGCCTCCCAAAGTGCTGGGATTACAGGCGTGAGCCAACACACCCTGCCTCTTTGTTTTTAAGAAAAATCTTTATGGTTAAGCTTATTGTTGTTCATTCATATTATAACTTTAATTCCTTGCATTGTTGTTCTTTTCACACTTTAGTTTAATGATGAAGTCTTTGTTCATATAGATTAAAAAACCCCAGGCAGTGGTGGAACTGGATGTCACTCAACTCCCAATTTAGTGCTTCTGCTAAGGTTTTCTTTAAAAAAAAAAAAAAAAAGGATTTTCTGTATTCTCTGTTGTTTGATTTCTGTACTTACTATAATGTTAGAGTCTTTTATTTTAATCTGCCAGGCAATATGAAGATCATATTTTTGCTCTTATTTTCTCTTGAAGATAAGAATTAAATACTCCTCCCTTACTTTATTTACCTTAACACTTTTGGGCAGTCTACTTTATAAACTTATAAATGATATGCCTTCATTTAAAATAGAAGCTTTCTTAGTTAAGCAACTATGTTTTCTCCCTTTCTCTTTCCCTTTTTCACGTTTTTAAAAACCAGTCTTTTTCTTACTTTTTCAAAACTAAGAACCATTAAGAAATTTAAGAATTATTAAATGGGCCCCATCATTGAGCTCTAATATATATGGCGTGTAACTGGTTGAATTCCTTAGGCATAATTAAACTCATTCTGTTGTTATCAGCATGTATTCAGAGATTGCGAAATGAATCGGTAGTCTGGAAACTTAGGCATATGTTATGTAAAACATTTTTATGAGTTGGATTTAGATTTGGTGAGAGATGTTAGGAATGATATCCTAAGATGTCTCATTATGTAGGCAATAATTTAAATGTTAAGAAAATCTTGATTTTGATTAGTGAAAATAAACTAGAAATAACCTGTTTTAAGTACTTATCACATTTGACCATGTTATGAAATTTGACTTATATTTTGGATTGTAAGCTTTCTCAGTGCCAAGGAAATCTTATTTTCATATTTATTTAATTTAAACTTTTTATGTGTTTGATATCTTCTCTAGTGCCTTAAAATAATTCTAGCCACTCAGTACATATTTGAAATGCATTGACTTATTACTGGAATTTAATTAAATGGCAGCACTGGCAAGAGAAAAACAGTACATTGTTTTATTGAGTAGCATTTGTGAACTGAAATAGGTTAGTTTTAATTTTCATTCTCAAGTATGGTTGCACAAATATTAATAAACACTGTTTTTAAAAAAAAGGTGATTAAAATGTTTTTTCCTTTGTAGGTATCATAACTATTGTGGATTCAAAATATGGGTTAAAAGTAAGTTGAAAGATTGCTATGAGTGGCTCATTATTGAGAGCTAGGAATATGGGGGTTGATTGTTTAATTTTCTTTATGTTTGTATCTGAAATTTTCTGTAACAAAAACCTTCTTCAAAAATATACCCTGAACAATAGGTGAAATTTGTGTTTTAATTACTAGTTTGTGTTAAATATTTCTTGTCTATTAATCTGAGTTTGATTTGGTGATAAAATTTGGAATTATAATTTGTAATAAGCATATGGGGTTAGGATAGAGTTTAGTATATATAACTCTTCACAAGGATTCAACCCCAATATTGATAAGTTTTTCTGTTCCATAGAAGAGACTGAGATTGATAAAGCATCTGAGATCTTATTTTTCTTGTTAAATTGCTATTAAATACACACAGGAAATGAGTTTTTTAAAAAGATTGAAGACCTAGGTGATGGGTTAATAGGTGCAGCAAACCACCATGGCACACGTTTACGTATGTAACAAACCTGCATATCCTGAACATGTACCCTGGAACTTAAAATTTAAAAACTACATATTGAAGAAAATTAGGATATATACGTAGGATTAGTAAGAAGACTCTGTCCATTAAAAGGCATCTTGCATCGCTTCTTGGTCTTTTGGCTAAGATCAAGTGTAAAAGACATCCTGCTATGAATGTTTTTGTTAACTTCTAAGGTCCTTAAATGCATTTAAATGAAGTTTAATTTATAAAATGCATTTAGTAAGATCTTTAAAAGTATGTTGTTACATACAGTAAAATGATATTTCTCAACTCCCTGAGTGAAATACCACCTAAGGCAGAAGAGAATGAAATTATCCCACCCACTGATTTGGTCCCAATCTGAGCATATGGATAGGGCCCAAAGCAGTAATTTCTTAGAAGTTTAAATTCAGTGTTTAAAAATTTGTGTCTGTTTTGTATCCAACCTCATAATGTATCTGAATGTGTTAATTTTTTTTTTTTTTTGATACAGAGTCTCACTCTGTTGCCCAGGCTGGAGCGCAGTGGCACAATCTTGGCTCACTGCAACTTCCACCTGCCAGGTTCAAGCGATTCCCTTGTTTCAGCCTCCTGAGTAACTGGGTTTACAGGTGCATGCCATCACATCCAGCTAATTTTGTATTTTTAGTACAGACGGGATTTTACCATGTTGACCAGCCTGGTCATGAACTCCTGACCTCAAGTGATCCACCTGCCTCAGCCGCCCAAAGTGCTGGGATTACAGGCGTGAGCCACTGCGCCTGGCCTGAACTTGTTAATGTTTAAGTTTGCTTTCTTTCCCCAAATCTTTGCTGAAATTATGCTCTCAGGGGATATGTCAGGTTTGTCAAATAGTTACCAATACCTCTTCACTGGGCCTTCTCTCCCTCGTTGATAGAGTGCCCTAATTTGAAAAGCTTGGAAGACAACTTTTTTAGAGTTTAAAATCTCAATTTATGAATTTATGAATATAATGTAAGAATCAAAGAATGATCCCAAATACAGTATTACAGTTTCACTCAGAAAAATTCCAATGACTGTTGGAAATCATATTTCTTGCAAAATGCTTATGGAGGTAGCAAAAACCCCCAAATTATTCATTTTGAGTGTTTATTATAGACATGTTTGAATCTATCTCTTCCATAAATTTATTACAAAATATGATATACCTATGTGACAGATAACTGCTAAGACTTTTTTTATAGACTTAGAATGCCATGCTGAAAGTCAAACTGTTTATGTATTTTATGATTATAGGAATAATTTTGTATGTATAGTTGAGTATGGAAAAGAGTTAAATAGAATCTATTATCAGCATGATAGAGGCCAAAAAAACAAAGCAACATTCTGAATAATGCAAACACAGTAAACGTTTAACCTCCTGCCACCTTGATAAAACCTCTTAAATTATTAAATCAATATACCTACACAAAACTGACACACTGTCAGGATAATGGAAACTTTAGATTTTCTAAGTCGGATGCCAGATAAATAACTTTGCCTTGATGTAAAGAATTTTCCAACTTGTCCAATTCCTCTGGTTGCAAAGCTTGACCTCAGTAGCTGCTTGTGATTCAGAGAATTCTGAGGCAGTACAAGTAATGACACTTGGATAATGGGCAGCAATTTAAGAATGTCATGCTTCACAGAGCCAGCCCATCACAAGTAAAGCTGAGAAATGGTACCCTGTGGCCGGCCAGCCAAATTGAAACTGAAGTGGTAATTGATATCATGGGGTATCACTCTAATGGGATTGTCACCCATTGATCTGAAATATTCATTTTTTAATCATAGGCAAAGAATTGGACAACTTAAAATGACAGCTCTCTATTCTCAGGACTTGACACCCAGGCTACTGACATTGTTCTTTTCAGTTCTACAAATGTGACAGCATTTAATGCAATAGAAGCAATGAATGAAGTTACCCAGAAAAGGTCAAGTGAGAGGTTTCTTCTTGGTTCCTCTGTTATATTGCACAATCTGTTGAAACAATTCAGTCAGAAAACAGTTGGCTTGGAAAAGGCCAGAACAATAAACAGACTGACATTATGCAATAATTTTTTAAAAACTAAAATAGTGTTAGGTCTGTAACCAATCCATTTGAAAGAAATAGTTCCTTCCGGCTGCTGCGTTTTAAAAATGACACCAGACATCTTTGACACTAGATTTATTTCCACTCTGGTCAACAGTAGTGTTCTTTCATAGCCAGTGAATTTTAAGATAAGTTTTTTCTTTTCTTTCTTTCTCTTTTTTCGGTCCAGCTTCTTTCTTTATTTCTGCAGAAAAGGACACTCTGTAGCCCTTCATGAAGTTATGTCTACAGTGGTGTTATTTCAGAGAGTTCCTTTGTTTCTCTCCCTAACCCCCCCCAGCTTTATTGAGGTATAATTGACAAGTAAAAATTATATATATTTAAGGTATACAATGTGTGAATTACATTATAAAACAATCGAACTAGTTAACATATCCATCACTTCACATTGTTTTTTTCGGGTGAGGGGGTGGTAAGAACAATTAAGATCTATCTCTTAGCAGATTTCAAGTATACAATAGAATTAACTACTGTCATCATGCTGTAATTAGCTCTCCATGACTTATGCATCCTGCATAACAAACTTAGTACTCTTTGACCAACATGTCACACCACTCCCCTTTAATTTCCTGTGTTTCTTGTGGTAAGTTAAATTGGGGTTTTGAACCTTAGCCTTTTGAATATGTTGGATTAATTAGTACCAAAATTATTTTTGTCTTTTTTGAAATATAAGCAAAAGCTATAGTTCTTAAGCAGAGATAAGGAAGAATTTGGACATCTATGTAATATAAAATATTTTTAAAAGATTTTGCAAAAATTTTTTCTGCATTTACTTATACAAGTAGAACAGAATGCCAAAATTTCCATTTTGCTTTATTTTATAAATGAAAGTCATCTGACTTAATGACCAAATGGTATATAATGTATTATTGGAGAATGTTCTTTTGAATAGAAGACATTGGTTTTATACTTTTTTGCAGAGTTTGACTTGGGAAGGTAGGAAGTCACATGAGGGAAATGCAGGGCTGATGTCTAAAGAAAATAAATGTTAGTATGCACTTATTTTTTTAAATGTTTGTATAGTTTTCCTGTGTGCGTAGAAGAGAACATTTATCCCTTCTGCTATAGTTGTATATGATTACATAGAATTTTAATAGAGTTGTAAATATTGGCAGGCTTTCATTTGGGGTGATTTTCGTTTATTTTTGTATTTGATACTTTCTGACTGCCTGGAGGCAGTAAAACGTTAGTCTACCACTGTTAGCTTTGAGTGAAGAATTCTAATATTTTGGAGAGGTAAATGCATTTAAAACATTGTACATTACCATGTGAAACTACCATTTTATTAGTTACATTTAGGCATGGAAATGCAAAAACGAATCTGTAATTCTTTTGTCATATCATTTTTATGCCCCACAAATTCATAGCCAAATAGCCCCAATTTCATATGTTAAAAAAACTTCCATAAGGTCAATAATATAATATCTTGAAAAATATTTCAGTTTAAAAAGACTTTCAGTACTATAGGATCATTCAGAGGCTGATGCCTTGCCAAAAATATATCTGTTAAGTAGATTTACTGTTAAATGGTTAGAGATTTGTTGCTGCATGTTAGATGGCATTTTTCATGTAACATCTTTTGTGTATCCCCACAACAGGAGGTGTTAACTATAATTCATTCAACAAATATTTGTTGAGTCTGTGTGCCAGGCACCATTCCAAGGTCTGTTAACAGCCTTACTATCTGGAGGCAGAGTATATAACAATAGGACTTGTTGTAGCCTCAGGCCAAGATGAATTATGAAAAAAATATTAAACTTGGTCTTTTGGCATGGAATGATTTTTGATACAATACTTGCCAAGTTCTGTGACTTCCGTAATTGCAGAGTGGGTCTGCAGTTGAACAAGATTTTGCCTGAAGCATCATTGCCATGATTTTATTTCAGTTTTGTTTTCCTCAAAATAGAATTTGCTAAACTTTTAGAAGGAAAAGATGTTTCTTCTATAGACCTAATCAAGCTTGTTAAATAAAATTATTACCTGCTTGCTCTTAGGTTCCAAACTATTCAGATACTCCTAATGATCATCTCCCCATGAGTTATGAAACGGGCTTGGCTCTGATATATGATTATTAACTTTTGTGTAGCATTGTACACAGACTGATTTTATGTGACATGAAAGTTTTCACAAAGACTTTAAAATTATGTTCATTTTACTTGATGGGTGTGTGTTCAATTAAAAAAATATAGTCCATGTGATTGTATATAAAATATAGTATCCTGTGATGATGAGGGTGTTAGATTTAGTTTCTTCCTTTATAAATGAAAATATCCTTCTCTCATAATTGTTATGAAAGCTAAATGAGAAATATATATAATTTATAAAGTTAAATTCAAGGATTTAATTAATTTGTAAAGTTGGCTTCAAATATAGAGTATTACTATAATCTAGTTGCCTCTAAACTTCAGTAGCCAGCTTTTTATTGTGACAGGGAACCTCTATTGAGGTTTGAGGTAATGAGGGTAAAAATGTAATTTCCCAGAGAAGAAGCCTGTGACGTTGATGACTTTAGGGATGTAAACAGGATTATGATGGGGAAAAAAAAAGAAACACAAAAAACCTTGCCTCCAGAGAGATGAAAACTACCACATGGGCTCTAAGTCCGTGTCAAAATATTTTTTGGAGTTAGCCTGACTCTGGAGAGGTCAGTAAAATAACTAGTTGCACTGAGAGGCCAGATTAGCAAGTATGGGTTTCTAAATGATAAACTGCTTTTAGGCTAGAATCAGAGCTGAATCAGCCCTGCCACCACTTATTTGTTTCTAGGGTGTTTGAAAGGCCTGGTACTGAGTTCACGTGATACACGATTGTGGGCTGGGGAGAAGGGAAGTATATTAGATTCTAAGAAACTGTATTTCAGTGGTTATCCTTTTTTTTTAAAAAAAATAAGTAATAATGAATATTTAGAACAAGAACAGTTTTGTAAGAAGGAAAATACCTAAAATCTGAACTGTAATCTTCTGTGTTTTTATGACATTATGTGAATCAAAGGGGTTTTCCTTTTAAGTAAAAGAAAAAGTCAGGAGTATGAAATCCTAAACCCTCTTCTTCCGCCTATAAAACCCTACAGGTTCACTTGTAGAAAAAAAATTGCAAATGGGGAAGAAAAATGCTTTCAGCTAGAAAAGTTAGTTTTGAATTTGTGTACCCAGTAACAGAATATGTTGAATTTTTATTAGATGCAAGAAGATGTCTATAAAGTAAAATCCTTTGTGTTGACATTAGATTTTTTATTGTATTGTAGTAACTTTATTCAAACTTTTTTTTTGTTTAGCATTTAACAGAAGAGAAACACGATGGCCTTATCAATGAAGCCACTAGGTATTCATATTTAAAGTATATATTGATCACTGGCTAATTGTAAAGAGAAAAATCACTAGGATGAAAACCAAAAACAAACTAAGAAATTTTAAAACATAGTCAAGGAAAATTTATTTTCTTTTTTCCCATAGTTGAATTATTGCTATCTATTTATAATGATCTGATAACTAAACTTTTACTTAAAATCATTTTTGTCGTAGCATAAAGTGAATGCTGAACACAGGAGTTCTGTAATTTTGAGGAACTCGGGAAATATTAACATTTAAAAATATATTTTTATTATACAATTTATTTGGGATTGAAGATTTATATATATATAATAATATATAATATATAATTTTAAAAAATTATATATAATTGTTATTATTATTTTTGAGACAGAATCTCACTCTGTCACCCAGGCTGAAGTACAGCAGATCTTGGCTCACTGCAACCTCTGCCTCCCAGGTTCAAGCGATTCTCTTGCCTCAGCCTCCCAAGTAGCTGGGATTACAGGCACCTGCCGCCATGCCCAGCTAATTTTTGTATTTTTTTTTTTTTCTTTTTCTTTTTTTTTTTGGTAGAGATGAGGTTTCACCATGTTGGCCAGGCTGGTCTTGAACTCCTGACCTCAGATGATCCACCCACCTCCACCTCCCAAAGTGCTGAGATTACAGGCATGAATCCCCTGCACCCGGCCTAACTTAAGTATTTTTGTAACTTTTTTCCTTATGAAAATATGGTTATTATAGAAAATATAAATAAGCCAAATAGAAAATAGCAAAATTAGATTTGTGATGTACATACTATTGAAACCTGCTTTTTCAGTGAACTAAAGTTAATTTAGTTTTGAGAATTTAGTTGTATTCTTTGAGATAAAGCATAAGACCCTGAAAAATTAAGGAAAATTGAAAGAATTTCCAGTTTTACTATCCTGTTAAGGGAAAATAGAGCTTCTGATTATTATCATCTACTTTGTTATCTAGCATTCAGTCGACTGGATTCTTTACAGAGATAATATACAGTATATTTATAGTGATAAAGAAGAAATTTTTGCAATATCCTGATAGATCTTGTGAAGTATAGCTTATTTTTTTTAAGAAATGGAGTCTTGCTATGTTGCCCAGGTTGGACTTGAACTCCTGGGCTTAAGGGATCCTCCTTCCTCAGCCTCCTAAGTAGCCGGGACTATAGGTATGGTCTGCCGTGCCCAGCTCTGAAGTATAGGTTTCAAAAAATCTGTTTAATACAGTTTTTAGTATTAAGTGAACTTATTCTATGTCTTTGAAAATTTTGGTAAATATTACAGTATTTTAGTATGTAAACTCTTCTTATTTTCACCATATTGGATATCTGAATTTTATGCTTTTCTTCACAAAGACAATTATGAGTTTAAAATCATCCTTTTGATTGTAAACTTTTTGAGACTTATCTTTGTAGCACAAGAGTAGCAAGTAAGAGAACTTAGTAAATACTTTGCGAATGGGTAATGTGAAATCTGAACTTGTATAGTAATGAATGCAATTCATTCCCATTGAAAAATCAGCGGATTAGGAGTAAACTGAATCACTCCTATAGAGCACTATATAATTCTTAACTGATATATTGATCTACATGAGGTGTTCTTATTTATTTTTAATTTGTTAACATTTCTCTTTTGATGTATTAATCTGCATGTGTGTATATTATTTTAAATTTCTTAATATTTCTTTTTGTTTGCTATTTTAGGCAAGTTGCTTTGGCAGATATCATTCTCATCAATAAAACAGACTTGGTTCCAGAAGAAGATGTAAAGAAATTAAGAATGACAATTAGGTACAAAATGATAAGTGTGTTAAGTGCCTACAGATCCATATTGTATACACAGAATATTTTTTACTCTGGTTATTGCCCTGTAGAAACTTAAGGTACAAGGTTGACCTGCTTCAAGAACCATTAGGGAATCACATATGTTGTTGATGGCTAATTGTTATATAAATAGTAATGCATAAAATTAGTCCCCAGTGCTTGCAGAATATAGTTTACAGTTAATAGACTGATATTCAGGGTCTTCTCACTCCATCCTTCTCCTGTCTTCTCTTTGACTCTTTCCTAATGTCAGTCTTCCCTAACTTTACCCAGGATAGTTAATTCACTTTCCCATGGATGCATCCTGCCAGTTCCTATCTTTACTCATAATGTATTCTCACTCTGCCAATCTCTGAATTCTTTCTTTTTTTTTTTTTTTAAATAATTTATTCTATAGAGCCTATTCTGTCTCTCCCCCACGCCTATGTGAATCTTCCCTGACTCAAGTGGTCTCACTTTTCCTGACACTCTCACTGACTTCATCTTCCTTAACTGTCACCATGCCTTGTCTTCCAGCTTGGTTCTTTTTTTTTTTTTTGAGACGGAGTCTCGCTCTGCGCCCAGGCGGAGTGCAGTGGCCGGATCTCCGCTCACTGCAAGCTCCGCCTTCCGGGTTTACGCCATTCTCCTGCCTCAGCCTCCCCGAGTACTGGGACCCACAGGCCCCGCCACCGACGCCTGGCTCGTTTTTTTGTATTTTAGTAGAGACGGGGTTTCACCATGTTACCCAGGATGGTCTCGATTTCCTGACCTCGTAATCTGCCCGTCTCGGCCCGTCCCAAAGTGCTGGGATTACAGGCGTGAGCCACCTGCCGCCAGGGGGGGGGTGGGCGGGGGGGCGGGGGCGCCGGGGGTGGCCCGAGCTTGCTTTAATATCTTCTTTGTCCATAGCCAAGGCAGATCAGCATAGGACAATCAGGAAAATATGAATGATGCTCAAATATGTTCTAACAGTCATTTTGCTGACTGTTCTGGAGACTCCCATTCCTTTTGAAAACAAAGATAGATTTTTCAAATGAGGTTATAGTTCAGGCACTTTGTTTTGAATTATTTTGTAAGACCTGAACTAACAAAAGCCCTATACAGAGAGACATTTGGTAGCTATTATTATTGGTTATCTTTAATGTGTACAATGCTTTGAGCGTGATGGCTCAAAATTACTATTCTTAGTATTTGTAAGTTCTACTGACATCAGATTTTGAATCTGTCATCTCAGTTCATATAGTACATATTATAAATTTAATCAATAAAGGTAAGGCTCATTAGATTATTTGCAATGATTAATGATTGTGGAAGAAAGAAATTCATATTTTTTCCACATATTTCATCTTATTTTAATAGTAAAGTCCTTAAACTTTACTATAAACAAAATATAATGTCTCCATGTGAAGGGTGGGTATTGTTGCATCGTGTTGAAGATCACACGGACCTTGGAATCTGCTTGAGTTCTAATCCTTGGTCTGTTTCTCATTGTCTTAGGGAGCTTATTTACCCTTTGAAAGCCTCCTCTGTAAAAGACATAATGCCTATCATAAGTTTGTTTTGAGTATTACATGAGACAATGTTGGTAAACTTTGCACAGTGCTGACACATAGTAAGTGCTCTGTTAGCTATTATTATGTAATTTTTTTCTTAGCTTACATAGTAAGTTCAAGGTATAGTAAAAAAGGGAAAAAAGAAAAAGATGGCTGATTTTGAAAAGGTAAAAGTGATGAATGAAGATTGCTTTTACATTTTTTGACACTGGTCTTCTAATCTTGTTTCTCTTCAAAAATCTTGTGCACCATTGTGATTGCTAAGAAGAACACAATCTATTTAGCAAACGTTTTTGGCATAAAAGGAATGATAATTATTACGTGGCTTTTATATCCTTATAGAGACCTAAGCTAAATCTCTGACACTGACAATATTGACTATTACCCAGCTTGTTAACAGTACTAGAAATGAATTTGGAAGAAGCAATTTGATAAATTATACACCCTTTTGGCTTTTACCCTCCCTTTATATCAGACTTGTGACTGACTCAGAATCATATTTGGGGAGTTGAACAAAGGTAAACATGTTTGAGAGGGAATAGCCATCAGACTATAGAGTATATTCAAAAAAGAAGATTAAGAATTTTGTAAAGTAGTGGAGAGACTTGCCTCAGAATCATTATATGTGGGAAGCCTTACTCATGAGAACAAATTTGAACAAGTAGCAAGAATCTTGGGTAAGTAACCCTAAAGACAATTGAATTCATGATAGAGAATTGATGATTGATGATAGACGATGGAAAAGATAAATAGATGAGATATACAGTATGTTGAAAAGATTTTAACAGGTACTTTTTGGTGCCATACAAAGCCATATTCTATAGTATCAAAAGAGGGAGAACAGGCATAACAGGTAGAGAACCTAGTTAGGGAACTTAAGAGGTTATTCTATAAAGTAACCTGGGATGTGTGACTTAGAATTACTGTGAATACTAAGGACAGGCTGGGGGCAAAGTCATTTACAACCAGGTTTTTATTTTTAGTGTGTATATAGCCATTTCTACTATATATGCCTGAGGAAAAAAGTGACCACCGTAAAAATTTTGAGTATCTACTCATTTTTAAGAACATTAGGATAACTGACTACTTATGAATGACTTTTTCTAAAGTGAAGCATCTTTTTATTAATCACAAAGTAGCCCTTAATCTGACAGTTGTGTGAAGTTTTGTATATATGTTTTATTGATGTGTGAGTGGAATATATGTGATTTATGGTTTGAAGGAAAATCATAATTATATTTTAAAGCAAGTTTTGTTTTTCTGTTTTTAATTTTTTTTTGGTTCCAGATGTATTTGTGTATGCTTATTTCCTGTTTTAGAAATAATGTACTTTGTATACTTTTTTAAAAAGTTAATTTTTACTTTTAAACTTTGTCTTCCTCATCTATTATTTATTTCAGATCCATAAATGGACTAGGACAAATCTTAGAAACACAAAGATCAAGGTACTTTTAAAAAGCTATTCCTAATATACTAACAACAAATCATTTTAGTTATTAATAATAAACATTAAGTAATTGACAAATACGCTTGATTCTAATATAAGAAAGATGTAAGTGCATTTAAAAAGAATTGGATCCAAAATGTTGTTTGGAATGCTCTTAATAAGTTAGTTTGGCATATTTAGCTAGTACATTTGCCTGTCTTTAAAACTAAGATTACAAAGCCATGATAACACTATGTAAGTGTTTGCTTAAGGAGGAAGAAAAGACTTCTAAACACTCAAGAGGATAACTCAGTACAGAAATCTGAGGAAGTATATTGAGGAATCTTCTCTTAATTTGAAGTCTTTAAATGGCTTTTTAATATTTTAAAAGCCTTCTTAGTGTTTCATAGTTGCCAAAAAATACATGGAGTCTTTACCGTGAAGTTCCTGACAAATTCTTTTATTAAATTTTGATTTTAATTTTCTCTAGGTTCTGTTCCTAAAACATCTGTGAAGTGTGTTTCTGTAGATTAAACTCTGTTTTCCATTGAATGTTATCTTAATTTCAGAAAATTTCTGTGCAGGGTTTTTTTTGTTAAACTCATTTTTTTTTTTTTTTTTTTTTTGGTGAGAAAGGCTCAGCAGCTGATAGACTCAGCAACAGGCAGCCAGGAGCTCTGAGACTCACAGCTGGCAGTCTAGTTCAACTCAGTCTCTACTTGAGAGATTCTTTCTTTGAAAGTACAGTAGAGGCCTTAGGTGAGTGGCTTGTCTGCTATGGCAGAGATTAGAGGTGCTGACAGACTGCCATAAGTGTTAGGCAGCAGCAGCAGCAGCTGCTTATATGCATGTGAACAGCTGGGGAATTTGGTATGCATTCTCAGGAGCCACTCATCTGCTGGCAGAGGTAGCAGAAGAATGCCCTTAGTGTAAGTCCTCTACAACCATACACCAAATGTGCTCCCCGCATTTTAAATTCCACTGTAGAAAGTCTCTGATAATCTCATTTATACTATGAGCCATTCCTCAGTATCTGTCTTCTTCCTGTTAGTGTTCTACAATTCCTTTCTCCTTAATTTTTCTCCTCTTTACAAAATGTCACACAGACAAGTGCATAATACTTAAACAAGCTTTTAAAAATAATGGTCATAAATAGCTTTGGTTCTGTCTTAATATTCGTATTTATAAACATTTTCAGTCAAGTCTCTTCTCTTGTTTTCATTTTGGAAATATCCATGTCCTGAATAAAAGTTTCATCTTGATTAGTTTATTATGTAACAATTTAGTTTGTTTGACATTTCTAACTTTTATTTCTAACATTTGCTTTATTATAGAACAGTAAACATGCAGTGATTGATTTTTGTTACTTCAAGTGGATGAGTGAGCAAGTGACTAAAATCTTCTGTGAATTCTTCTTCAGTGTATGGAGGTTGCCAATGCATCTGAGAATCTAGGGACTTTCTGAAATAGTACTTCCTTGCTATGAGGACTGAAGTTGGATTAGAATCCTTTTCAATGAAGATCAGATGTCCTGAGTAGAATTTTTATTATTGGGTCCTGAATCTTACATTAAATATTCTCTCAAATTCCTTGAGGCATAGCAACTTGAGCTTACTGAGAAAGGCTCAGCAGCTGATAGACTCAGCAACAGGCAGCCAGGAGCTCTGAGACTCACAACTGACAGGCTGGGGGCAAAGTCATTTACAACCAGGTTTTTATTTTTAGTGTGTATATAGCCATTTCTACTATATATGCCTGAGGAAAAAAGTGACCAGCCAGGCGAGGTGGTGGGCGCCTGTAGTCCCAGCTACTCGGGAGGCTGAGGCAGGAGAATGGCATGAACCCGGGAGGCGGAGCTTGCAGTGAGCTGAGATCGCACCACTGCACTCCAGCCTGGGCGACAGAGCGAGACTCTGTCTCAAACAAACAAACAAACAAACAAAAAAACCTGGAGATTTGGTTAACAAAATAGTCAAAGTCACTCTTACAGAAGTTTTGTTTTATTGTTTTTTTAAAAATTTTACCATTGTGTAGTTGACAAGTACTGACAATAAACTGCTATGAGCATGTGTAGAAAAAGGCTCACCTTGAGTAGTTAAGAGTAAGGAAAAGGAATAGTGTGTAGCATCGTCTTATTGGTAAGACTTAAGTTGATTTACTAGCAAATGGAAGTACTAGTGAACCACACAGATTTCAGATGTAGGAGTAAAAGATGAGAAGATGTGTCATTTTAATCTTCTCTAGACTTTTTCCTGATTTTTAGAAATGTAAGTGGACTGAACAGAGGAAAACCAAAACACAGTTGGTCAATAATAAGTTAAATTAATTTGACAAACTGCCTGCTATGCATTTCATAGCATTTTAAGGACTATTTAAGCAACGGATAAGGCAAAAACTGCTTTTAAGGAGATCAGTCATTGGGGGGAAACAGAGAAGCAAACAAACAAAAAGGCAACATATTAGATATTAATATAAATACAAGAATTTTAAAAGCACAGAGTTCTATAATAATAGGAAAATAGAGGGAATGGTTACTCAACTTTTCTTGAAAAAGAGTCAGGAAAATATTGACCGAGAAGGCAGTCATTGACCTAAGTCTTAAGTAATGAGTAAGGCTTTTACAGATGGACTAGGGTAGGGACAACTTTCCAGGTATAAGGAAGATTTTGTATTCCAGGGACCTTTGAATATTTTAGAATGGCTAGAAAACTTGGTATTATGTAGCACAGAAAAAGTGGTATGACTGAAGAGATAGAGAACTTACCACAAAGGGTCTCGAATGCCATGCTACATAGTTTGGATTTTCTTCTGTAGAAAGCAAGGAGTTAGTGAAGGGTTTTAAAAGCAATATGACTCTAGGGAGGTAGATTCAATGTGGGGCTAATCTCTGAGGTATAGGAAATACAGGAAAGAGGAGCAATAGGTCGGGTAGTGGTGGAAGTAGGTTTGGAAAATGTGATTAGTTTTGTAAACATTTTTGAGTTCGAAGTGCCACTGGGGAAGGCATTTGGAAATTTATTTCTAGAGTTCAAGACTGAGCTTTCATTGCAGTTTGCTCAGCTATTTACTGAGCTATCTACTGTCAATTTGGATAGTATCTACAATTTGCATTGTAGATACTGGATACTTGGATTGGCTGGTGCACCCTGTTTGTGAGACTCACTGGAGTTTGAAGAGATGATCACTGGAAAATATCCCTGAGTAGTAGCTGCAATTCCAGCCCCACCTTGGAGAGCCAAAACACTCTTTGTTTTCACTCTCCTGTCCTTGGTCTTAAGCTACTTAAGCAGCTTTTAGACATAGGGAAAATTAAAAGCATCTCTTTTAGGAAAAACATTAGGTACTTCTGGAATAGAGAGTTCAAGAAATTAGGGGAAAAATGAACTTTTGAAGCTTTTTCTTTCCCTTTTTTGTTTACTTCATTCTCTTACTCAGTTTTAAAATGCTGGTAATGGTTTTTTGTTTTTTGTTTTTTGTTTTTTTTTTGTGTGTGTGTGTGGCTATTTTAGTGCTTTGGAAAAGATCTGATGGTTTTATCTCCAAGGAGGAAATTAATTTGATGCCATGGAAATTAGTTTTCTAGTCATATGCCTTGAATGAGTGAAGAATTTCTTTTTCATAGTGGTACTAAATTTGGGGAAAGCTATAGAAACTTTCATCTGGAAGCTTACACTTTTCTTCTTTATTGAAAATTTGGTGAGAGACTTGGATATTTTATTATTTTCTGTAAAAGAGTGTAATTTGTTGTACAGATCTAATATTGATCCTTTTTTTGGAAGTATGGAAAGAATCTGAGTATAAAGCAGAATTACCTCTGGATGACATGTATTCTCAAGGACACTGTCACAGTGAAACAATTTATTTAGAAGCTTGTGTTTCCAAATTGTTGAATTTGATATTCACAAAATTGGCATGTGTAAACTTTATTAAACTTTAAGCTGTTTCTTAAGATGAAGATGACAAACTTGGAGGGAAACTCCATTAGTTTGGTTTATTTTTATTTTTTTATCTTTTTGAGACAGAATCTCACTCTGGTGTGAGACAGAATCTCACTCTGTCCCCCAAGATGGAGTGTGGTAGTGCGATCTCGGCTCACTGAAACCTCTGCCTCCTGGGTTCAAGCAATTCTCCTGCTTCACCCTCCCTGTAGCTGGGATTACAGGTGTGCGCCACCACACCCAGCTAATTTTTCTATTTTTAGTAGAGACGGGATTTTGCCACATTGGCCAGGGTGGTGTCAAACTCCTGGCCTCAAAGTGATCTGCCCACCTTGGCCTCCCAAAGTGCTGGGATTACAGGCATGAGCCACTGTGCCCCTCATTTGTGACCTGTCAATATAAATATGCTCAGTAGTGGGGGGAGGGGTGGGGGGTGAAAAAGGAAATATGTTTAATATTAAGACTTTGGCCTCTTAGTGTAAACTGATATTCAAAAATTTCTTCATAGAACATTTGCTTCTTTGCTTGATCATTTTTCTAATTCTGTACATCTGAAATGCCCAGAATTTGAGTTGTTGTTATAGTCTATTAACATAGAACTTTGGAGTAATAAGATGGGAATTTGTCTGCCTTTTGCCAAGACGAGCATTCATAATCTAACACAGTATTGTTGCCACGAGTATGAGTATGTGATAGACTGTTGAGAATAAACAAAGCAGGCACAGTTGGTCAGTCCTAAGATAAAGGAGATGTTTTTTCTTATATGTTTGTGCATTAAAAAAAAAAAAATCTTGAATCTGACCAATGATTTTTTTTTTCCTTGTAAGAAAATTTAACAAATGTTTGGTAAGCTTCTGGAATCTAAATTTGAAATTATACATTTGTCATTTTCTTTAAACATTTCTTCACCTTAACTTTGATTATGGAGAAATCACTATCCTCTGCTGTTTTTTTTTTTTTTTTTTTTTTTTTCTGTGCCAGGCTGGAGTGCAGTGGTGCAATCTTGGCTCACTGCAACCTCCACCTCCGGGGTTCAAGTGATTCTCCTGCCTCAGCCTCCCGAGTAGCTGGGACTATAGGCACGTGCCACCACACCCAGCTAATTTTCGTGTTTTTGGTAGAGACACGGTTTCACCACGTTGGCCATGGCCAGGATGGTCTTGATCTCTTGACCTTGTGATCCACCTGCCTGAGCCTCCCGCAGTGCTGGGATTACAGGCATGAGCCACCGCGCCCGGCCTGTCCTCTGCTGTTTTCTGAGCTTATGTTAAAATTATAACTCAATCACCAGTCTTTATAAATTTGCTTTTTTATATTTAAACCGAACCTAATGTTAATTGTGATGTTATTCTCACCTGATTTGAATCATTGGATTCAATTAAATAAGTTTAATTATCATTAAATAATTCTAAGAGAAATAATGTCTATTCGGATGGTGGGAATTTTCTTTCTACATGCAGCCCCATTCTGAATGAATGAAATCAAATCATGTGAAGATCAGGGTCCTAGAGTAACTTAATATTTTGTACATTGGTTATTTGACTTCTCGTTTTTGTATTACATGTTATATCAGGGGAGGGGGAACAAAAGAAATACAAAAATTGCAGAGGTATTTGGAATGTACCTATTTGTTAATTCTATTTGTCATTCTTTTGTTTCATCTTTTGAGTAATAAACTGCTTGGAAAAGTTTCTGTTCTTTAGCTGATTTTTTTTTAGCTATAAAAATGTATTTGGAAAGCTCATAAATTTCAGGATTGAAAAGATAATTGAAAGTTAAAAAAAAAAAGCTAATTCATTGAAGTAATAACCAAATAATTTTCAATCTTGATTCAACTGTGATTCAAATCTTATACCATTTGCTCACTTCTATGAATTTTATGTATAAAATTTTTTAAGAGTCAGAGATTTTTTTTCTTGATTAATTGGATGTATTTTCACAGAATTTCCAACTGCTCATGTTAGTTTTCTTCCTTTTAGAGTTGATCTCTCTAATGTATTAGATCTTCATGCCTTTGATAGTCTCTCTGGAGTAAGGTATGTTTTGTATAATTTGCTTACTTTTATTGTTATGTACCTTTTTTTCCCATAGTTAACGGGAATGATTTGCACAATTGCATCCTTGATTTAAGCTTCCTGCCATTCCTTTGGCGTACAAGACCATTCTTAATGAGGTGTGTTCTTGGAAGTTTTACTGATTGGTTGTTTGGAAATCATATTGCATTTCCCTGTAGAAATTATAGTGTAAATGATAGTTAACTTTAGAGGCTAATCGTTAACACTTCTACGCTAAACACTATGTATAACACTCTTTCTATGAGAAAATGCATGAAATACATAGAAAAGTTTAGCTTAGGGTTCTGACACAAATAACTCTCTTCACTTTAGTAATGGATTAGTTTTCTGCCTTCTGTGGGGAATCTTTTTGGTAAGGGAGGGAAGAAAGATTAGTTATTCTTGTGCATCAGTATCTTTTTCTTTTTTTATTATAGTCTGAACATCTAACATGAGATCTACCCTCTTAATAATTTTTTAAGTGTACAATACAGTATTGCTAACTATGGGCATGAGGATGTGCGGCAGATCTCTGGAACGTTTCGCTCTTTATAACTGAAGCTGTATACCCCTTGAATAGCAGCTTCCCATTTCCCTATCTTTGTAGCCCCTGGCATCCACAATTCTACACTCTTTCTGTGGGGTTGACTATTTTAATTACCTGACACAAGTGGAATCATGCATTATTTGTCTTTCTGTGACTGGTTTATTTCACGTAGCATAAAGTCATCAAGGTTCATCCATGTTTTTGCATATGGCAAGGTTTCCTTTTTAAGGCTGAATAATATTCCATTTTCTACATATACCACATTTACTTTATCCCTTTTTCTGTTAGTGGACATTTAACTTGTTCTCACAGCTTGGCTATTGCAAATAATGCTGCAATGAATATCTCATAAGTCTCATATATGTCCATATAAGATCATGAACATGGACATCTCTCTGGGCATTTTGAATTGGTGGGGCAGGTTTGCTTAAGGGTAGGCATGGTGGGTGGCTCTATACTTGAGACTTCTGATTCTCATTCCTATATGTATTTCTTTTCTTTTTTATTTATTTATTTTTTTGAGATGGGGTTCTCTGTCACCCAGGCTGGAGTGCAGTGGCACAAACATAGCTTACTGCAGCCTCGACCTCCTGGGCTCAAGCAATCCTCCCATCTCAGCCTCCCGAGTAGCTGGGACCACAGGCATGTGTCACCATGCTTGACTGTTTTTCTTTTCAATTTTCTGTAAGCATGGGATCTTGCTATATTGCCTAGGCTGGTCTCAAACTCCTGGGCTCAAGTGGTCCTCCTGCCTCAGCCTCCCAAAGTGCTGGGATTACATGTGTGGGCCATCACAACCAGCCTTATATATATATTTCTAATTTTGCCTTAGCCATGCCCTTAAAAGCTAATTCTATTTTCAACTAGTTTTTTTTTTTTTTTCACCTTCAGTCTGTAGTATTGTTCACATTTTGAAAACAATACCTACAGTAACCTGTGAGGTAGGACACGATAGTGTTTTATTGGACCTCTTTTACTTTATAAATTGGAAAAATTAAATTTGCATGTAGTTTGTAGAAAAAAAAAGAAAAAGAAAAAAGAAATTGATTGAGATTATTTCAGCAATCAGAAGTCTGGGATAGGCAGGGCAGTTATTCCTCCTTCTCAGTTTGGAAACTGAAGCTCAGAGAGTAAACTTGTCAGTGACAGTGTTATTCAAGAAGTTGTCTTCAGTTGAGAGAGATGTTTTTCACCTATAGCTCTGGTATTGGAGCAGTACCTTTTTAGACTAAACAAATTATGGCTAAAATTATAAAGGTATTTTCGGGGTACCTGGAAAAAATCAGCATTTTGCTTTTCTAGTTCCTGTTAGTAGGAAGGCAGAAAAGTTTGGTGTAGCTGAATTACATGTGAGTTATTTCTATTTTTCTAAAAATTCTTATAAATTATGTAAGGTAAAAATGACCACTTGTTGTTTTATGGTAAATATAGTTATATCCTTTCAAGCCACTGCTGTACAAAGTTGTGAAATCTCCCTGAGCCTTTTTCCCTCATGTCAGCTTCAGGTGTCCAGTATCACTTATGCTTGATAATGATTGTATGAAAATCATTCAGAATTATGCTATGTTTTTTCATATGAAACTTTTGTTTTACTAATTTTGAAATGACTGTTCTTCCATTAAACTAATACAGCCCTAAGCATAAATTTGGCTTGTTCATTTAAAAATAGTCCTTTTTTCCCATCTTAGTTCTGGCTTTACTAAGGAGATGGATTGCTGAGGTTGTCATCTAATTCTGGGAGCTTAAAAGCCTTTGTCTTTTGCTAGCCATTTCTGAAATAACCAGAAGTCTAGTCCATCCTAACTTCTCTCTTGATGATCCTTTTCTTCTTTTTACTTCAAGGCTCCAGCCCTTCATTTGGCTATCAGTGTTCTTTCACTAGTTAGCCATGATCCCTTTCATCCTCCACATCTGGATTAGAACTACTAATTTGATGCTGTGGGCAGTTTTGATAGTTACAGATCCTGTGATACATTTAAATATGTTTATGAGGGGGAAAAAATGAAACAATACTGCATGAAATTTGCCTTTCTTTTTTTTTTTTTTTTCCTTGGAGACAGAGTCTGGGTCTGTTGCCCAGGTTAGAGTGCAGTGGTGCGACGTCGGCACACTGTACCCTCTGCCTCCTGGGCTTAAACCATCTTCCCACCTCAGACTCCTGAGTAGCTGGGACTATAGGCACGCACTGCCATGCCTGGCTAATTTTTTACTTTGGTAGAGAATGGGGTTTTGCCATGTTGCTGAAGCTGATCTTAAACTCCTGGGCTCAAGTGATCTGCCCACATCAGCCTCCCAAAGTAACGGGATTATAGCATGAGCCACCACACTTGGCCTTTTCTTTTTTTTATATTTATTTAATTATTTTATTTTATTGAGACAGAGTCTCACTCTTGACACCTGGGCTGGAGTGCAGTGGCTGTCATGGCTGTCTGCAGTCCTGAACTCCTGGACTCAAGTGATCCTCCCATCAGCCTCCTGAGTAGCTGGGACTACAGGCTTGCACCACCATGCCTGGCTACTTTTTTTATTTTTACTTTTTTGTAGAGACAGGCTCTCGCTATGTTGCTCAGGCTCATCTTGAACTCCTGGCCTCAAGTGATCCTCCTACTTGGCCTCTCAAAGTGCTGGGATTATAAGCCTGAGCCACTGAACCCAGCACAATTTGCCTTTCTTAAACTAATTTATCTCTGTTTGGTCCAAGAGCTTGCAAGTTGGTTGTCATTTAATATGTTAAACACTGAAATATTTTTTAGTTGAAATTTTATTTTTTCCCTTTACATATTGTATCTTTTAGTGCTTTATTTCACTAATAAGAATTAGAGTATGAAATATTTTCCCACCTTGATATTCAGTATATCAATTTTTGTTTTTCCTTTCTACTTCTATCTTTTGCTGTAATTTGCTGTAATACAGGTACTTTCATTAAGGCATCCAGTTCTTTATATCATTCCATATTTTTACTTGGGAGAAATAGAAATGTTGCTAATTCCATCTTACTGACAATACCTAAATTATTGTTTCTTATAGAACATAATGGGTTAAATATACAAAACGCTAAACTGTTTGAGCTTTTTTTACATTTTATGTGTACAGAATTTACATTTTATGTGTGCAGAGACGCAAATTGTTATAAGATTACAAGTTAATGTGTAAGTTGATTTCAGATTCGTGAATTTCAGGTTGTGGTAGCTTATGCTTATCCACTAGATTAGTCTTTTAAAAATGTTTATGACAGGGAAAAAACACAACATTTAGGGCATGAAATTCTGAGACTTACTGGGAACTAAACTTCAGATGCTCGTTGTTAGATTTTTTTTTTTTTTGCTGCATATGAAGTTTTAGGCAGTCATTGTCCAACAACATTAAATACTGAACATATGGGAAAAGCATATGATTTTTCGAAATGTTTTTCTAAAGTAATCTCATTCTACACTTAAGAGCAGTTATAATGCTTTAGTGACACTTGAAGTAGCTATTTAATGTGATCTCACCACTATAGAGAAGGCCGTTGCATGACTTTTTTGTGTGTGCTTAGCTGCTAAACAGGAGAATCTTTTCCTGAGCAACCAGCTGGGAAGGATTTAATTTGACATTCTCCCTACTAGGACCCCCCAAAGAGACTCATTCCCTCCAATAGTTCCTACAAGTTCTTTCTCTTTCCTAAACTTGCTGTTACTAATTTACCCCTCACTGTTCTTCAAGGCAAAACATCTGCAAGGTTTTAAGTCCTTTCTCCCTCCTGTCCTGTCCCCATCTTGAAATGTATGCTACAGTTGTTATGGTTGTAATTTGTTATGCCATATTGATCTTCTTGTGCTTTTCATATCAGAACAATGCATTTTTAACATTCTGACTTTCTTTTTCTCTCAATTGGTAACTGACTATATAGAAAATTTATGGATACTATTTGTTTTTTAAATAAGTTCAGGGGAAAACATTGATAAAGGAAAATTTATCCTTTAACTTTCTTTAGGTGCCAGCATTATTTGCACATTAGGAAGCAGGAGAAAATTAAGGAACTCTGAGCAATACTAGAATGGTTATATATATATATATTTAAGCTCGTATTAAACCTGTTGGAATGGTAAAGAAATCTACTGACATATTTAACCACACAAAATAGTGTTGCTAAAAGATTAATTTTTTCTTTATTGTGTGCATGTGTATATATATGAATGTGTCTTTTTTTAAAAGAAATTTTTAAAAAACTTAATCTTCCAGCTTTTCTCTATTGGAATTTGTGAACAACGTGTAAAATTGGAATTACAGAATAGTAAAATAGTCAGTTATGGAAAGTCACTTCATTATCCTTGTGTCACTAAATAACATATAAAGTTAAATCAGAAGTGTATTCATCTCTGAATTTCTAATCAGTGGTTTTTAGTTTGCAGAAAAAACTTCAGCATGTGCCAGGAACACAACCTCACCTTGATCAGGTAAAAAAAAAAAAAAAAAAAAAATCTAAATCCAAAATTCCTAATGAATGTTTTTAAAGGACCTCTTTAACTAAATTGGCTATGTTTAGGACTATTTTATTGTAAACTTTTTCTAAAATGGTGTTTTTGAACTATGTTGATAATTTTTGGAATCTTAAATGCTTTTGACATAGTCTAATTCAATTTCTTAACACATAATAGGAATTCATCAAACCAGATTTGTTTTAGAATCTGAGGAAATCATGCTTTCTAGCCTTTAAATTCTGTAGATTACTTAGCATATTGATTAGTTCTGATAGGGATTACTCCTTAAAAGCAGCCTGGGGGTTTTATAGGCAGTGTGTTTTTAAGTATGTTGAATTGTTTAAGGAATGGTCTGATATAAGCATGGCTTATTTAAATAAAAATTGACTTTGAGGCCGGGCACGGTGGCTCAAGCCTGTAATCCCAGCACTTTGGGAGGCCGAGACGGACGGATCACGAGGTCAGGAGATCGAGACCATCCTGGCTCACACGGTGAAACTCCGTCTCTATTAAGAAATACAAAAAACTAGCCGGGCGAGGTGGCGGGCGCCTGTAGTCCCAGCTACTCGGGAGGCTGAGGCCGGAGAATGGCGTGAACCCAGGAGGCGGAGCTTGCAGTGAGCTGAGATCCGGCCACTGCACTGTAGCCTGGGCGACAGAGTGAGACTCCGTCTCAAAAAAAAAAAAAAAAAAAAAAATTGACTTTGAGTTTCACCTTCAGGTGAAACCAGCTGGGCACTGTAAATTTGAACTTCTGAAGATGTTTTTAATGCTCTAAAATTCTAATCCCTAAGGTAAATATCTAAGATGCTAGGAACAAATTAAATATAATTTTACCGTACTTGTGTTTCTGTTAAGCAGATCATAGATCGTAGAGCTTTAGGATAATTTCTTTGTTCCACTTAAAACCCTGAGGGGTGGAGTAGGGGATGTGTAAGTGAGCAGTGTGTCTAGTCTTCCTTCCTCTGTCTCCAAGTGATCACTCAGTTTTTGAATTGCTGTTGGTTGTAATAGGGCCAAGATAACAGCTACTTGCATTTGTATTCATTTTGGTTCATATTTATGAGCAGGTTTACTATTATGTTTGTGACACCTTTCCCTGTGAAACTTTTGTTAATAGGATATTCCTCTTCTCTTATCTTTAAAATGAATAAATGAGAGAAATACAAGTCCTTGGAGATAGAATTTATGGTTAAAAAAAAAAAAAACCCAATTCTTTATGATAGTCGATATCTGTCATACAGATGAACATGAAGCACATTTGAGCTTCTGGGTAAAGAACATGATGCCAAGAATCATAGGGATGAAAAGATGAAGAAAATGCAGTACTCACTTACCATGAACATTTGGAGCGGCCAGTGTCTCCACCCGTAGAATCTCGAATGAACCCCTATTGTGGCAGTTATGATGCCTTGTACTTTGGTTGAAATGCTTTTGCCTTGCATTAGTCTATAAATTCCTTAAATGTAAAATCTTTATTGCTTAGGACAGGGCTTGGTGGATACTCAGTGAATATTTGTTAAAAGAACGAAAAGCTGTGGTTCTCAAATGGGGTGTAAGTCAGAATCACATGTGGAGCTTTTTAAAAAAAATACGATAACTCAGTAGTTCTCACCCCTCAATCTCCAGGATTGGGACTTGGGTATGTGTATATTAATGTATATTTTTAACGTTTTATTATGGAAGATTTCAAAGATATAAAAGAGTAAACAGAATAGTAAAGTAAACCCCTTCTGTGCATCACCCAGTTTAAATGGCATCAACATTTAGCTGGTTTTATTTCACCTATCCTCCCAACATTTCTTTTGCCTGGAGTATTTAAAAAAACAAATGTTTTTTTAATAGAAAATTTAAAACGTGCATAAGAGTAGAATAGTATAATGAGCCTGTATGTACCTGTTGCCCTTGCTGGAGTGTTTGAAAGCAAATTCCAGACATTATGTCATTTTACTACTAAATAGGGCATGTCTATATTTTTGAAGCCTGTGTAGGAGATTCTGATGCATTGTCCTGCTTTAGATAATATAAACATAGGGAAAAATAGTATCACAGGCAAAGGGCTATGGGATTCAGAGGCATGAACAATTTCATTTGGTTCAGTGGATCTGAGGTGTAAGGGAGAAAATGTATCTTTTCCTCGCCTATCACTAGATTAATGGCTGAGATCTCTCTAATAGAAGACCAACTATCAAGAGAAATTTCAACATACCAATTTAGTAAGTTTTACTTGACACAGGAACCTTCATAAAACATACGTATGTATGTTTTATGCTAGTTACGATATGGAAGAGGATAGTAATGGAGAAGCATAATTAGATAAAACAGTATGATCTAATAATAATAAACTGGGAAGAACTTAGCAAGGCCTATTTGCTCAGATTTTTCTCTGTGACCCTTCACATTCAGACTTAAGGATGTTCTTTTCCTCTGTGTGTAGAGAGGGCACCTCTTAAATGAGGGTCTTATAACCTGCATCAGCGGAAGGTCAGAAAATCTTTCCTAGGTTTTATGACCTGCTTCAGGAGAGAAGGTGAGAGTGACCTTCCTGATTCTGCCATTTTCTCAAATACTGAGGTGCCATATTTTGGGATAGCATGTCCTGAACCCCATCAAATGCTCCATGAAGATAGTTTTTTGTTTGTTTGTTTTGGTTTGGTTTATTTCTTTGCATACAGTAAAGCATGCAAATGTGTAATTTTAGTGTACAATTCAATGTTTGGATTTTTTTTTTTTTTTTTGAGACATAGTCTCACTCGAGCTGGAGTCTCACCCAGGCTGGAGTGCAGTGGTGCGACCTTGGCTCACTGCAACCTCCTCCTTCTAGGTTCAAGCAATTCTTGTGCCTCAGCCTCCCGAGTAGCTGGGATTACAGGCATGCACCAACCACCAAACCGGCTAATTTTTTTTTTTTTTTTTTTTTTTTTAGTAGAGATGGGGTTTCACCATGTTGGCCAAGCTGGTCTCAAACTCCTGGCTTCAGGTGATCCACCCACTTCGGCCTCCCAAAGGGCTAGGATTACAGGTGTGAGCCACTGTGCCCGGCCTCAATGTATTTTTAAGTATATTTGTACCTATATATCTGTCTATATGCACATTTAAACACATATCCTTCTAACTCCCACTCAAATCAAGATATAAAAGATATCCAAAATTATAAAGAGTTCTTTTTTGCCCCTTCCCAGTCAAAGAAGCGGGGGTAAGTGCTAGTCTGACTTACTTAACAGAAAATAGCCTTGAATTGGTAGGATTTTTTTTGACAGGAAGAAGTAAGGAAAAGAGCAATATGGATGTTTAAAAATGTGAAGGTGAGAATCTTATAGATGAGTAGGTCTCTGGTACAGAAGTCTTAGTGGAGAGTTGGTACTGGAATCCTGGTCTAAGGTATTAGGTTTTAATTTGCTAGACAAAGAGAACTCAAGCTGTGCTGTCTAGGAGTGTTATATAAGCTAGATTGGACTTTAGAGTCAGGAGACCATGTGGGAAGATACTGTGTGATGAAGGCCTAAAACATGTTGGTTACAATTAGACTAGAAATGGGATAAATCCAGAACTGTTTCACTGGTAGACTTGCCTGAATATCCTGTCTGACTGAGGATGGATCAGAAAGAAACGAAGCGGTGATGGGAAACAAGCCTAGATTGACTAGAGAAACCTAGAAATAGAAAAATTGGGAAGGCAAAGTGATTTGGATGATAATGCCATATATTCAGTTGTCCCTGGTGGCCAGATATTATAGTATAGATATTATACAGGCAAAGAAGAACAGAGGGCTAGAGTGTGAAGGTACAGATTTTGAGTTTAAGCACATTAGGGGGCTTAGTGTTCTGGATGAAGAAAACATATAGAAGTTATTGCATATTAGGTATTATTGTTTGCAAAAGAGTAGAAAATGGAGAAATAACCCAGTGGGTTAAAGAAGAAACAGACTAAATAAACAAACCTGAGTAAATTGTTCTTAAATTTTATTTTAGAGACAATTCCTTATTTTGCTTTAGTTTTCTGAATTATTGCCTCACTTTTCTGTTTCTTTCTGTGTCCGTATACATGGAAAAAGGAATTAATTTTAGATTTAAAACAAAAACTAGAAAAAAAAGTCTGCAATGGGTAATACCTAGGACATAGTATGTATGTGTTATTAAGGCTCTATCCCTGATTTTTTAATGCAGTTATCTATTTTTCATGGATTCTTTGTTTATTCCCCATAAGGAACACCTACCTGGGTTTGGAGAGTGGGAAGGTGGATGAGAAAACCCAAGTGACAAATAATGTTTAGTTTATTATTAGAACCAACTATGAGTTGTGACCCTTATCTTCTGCACTGGGAATTATAGATTTTTTTTTTTTTAATTTTTCACATTAGAAATGTGAAAATAGTTTATTGGTGTAGGAAAACATCTAGTTCCAAAATATAGATCACCCTTCCTGAGCCCCATGATGCATTATCTTAATTTTTAAAGCCTTTTTTGCCTCATACTGGAGTTTATTGTACCTCTTAAAAATAGTAAGTCACATACTTAACCTGACAAAAGCGAAAATCATTATAAAAATCTTTAGGCTGGGTGTGGTGGCTCATACTTGTAATCCTAGCACTTTGACAGGCCAAGGTGGGTGGATGGCTTAAAAACCCAGGAGTTGTAGACCAGCCTGGGCAACATAGTGGAACCCCTTTTCTACAAGAAATACAAAAAATTAGCCAGGCATGGTGGCATGTACCTGTAATCCCAGCTACTCAAGAGGCTGAAGTGGGAGGATTGCTTTAGCCTGGGAGTTCAAAGCTGCAGTGAGCCATGATCGTGCCACTGTACTCCAGCCTGGGCAACAGAGTGAGACCCCACCTCAAAAAAAAAATTATTAAATTAAAATCTTTAACAATAAATCTATTTTGAGTCGTATTTTGAGACATTCTTAATATAGTTTTCCAACTTGCATTAAAATACATTTTAAACATTTTTGAAGACTAAATTTCTTTTTTTTAA